TAGTGATCTCTGGAGAGTAAGTTGATTGTCTAATCACAATCGTCCTCGCTGAGATTTCATACTCTGCAGAATTACGGCATCATCATTACCTTTGGGGTTGGCTTCTTCGTGCTCTTGCTCATCGCCGCGGAGTACAACACGAACTCCGCGTTTGATACCGCGGTGACCCTCTTCAAGCAAGGAACGCGTGCAACGGAAGTCATTGCCATCACGGAAGATGAAGAGAAATCCAGCAAGCTATCCACCCGTCCACCATCTTTGGAAAGTGGCGCACCTGCACTCGAAAAGCCAGCAACCAATGATGTATTCACCTGGCAGCACATTCAATACGTCGTATCGGTGTCAGGCAAAGAACGGCGCTTGCTCGACGATGTCTCTGGGTATGTTGCACCTGGAAAATTAACGGCTCTCATGGGTGAATCTGGCGCTGGAAAGGTTCGTCGCATATCAATCTTCAGGATCCTTCATTCAACTTCTTATGACAGACAACGTTGCTCAATGTTTTGGCTCAACGGGTTGATGTCGGAGTTGTCACGGGAGATCGGTTCGTCAACGGGCAGCGCGTTCCCGCAGACTTCCAGTCTCAGACGTGAGTGAACTTCCTACTAGTCAAGATCTTCCGTTGATATTCCTTGCAGCGGCTATTGCCAACAAATGGACACTCACTTGCCGCAAACGAGTGTTCGGGAGGCTCTTCTGTTCTCCGCTCGCCTACGACAACCTGAGTCTGTCCCATCTGCGGAAATTGAATCATAGTATGTTCATATTTATTCACCACACACGTACAACTGAGAGTTGTGGATAGCGTGGACAAGTGCCTTATCATGTGCGGCCTTGAAAATTATGCTGACGCTATCGTTGGATCACTGGGTGTTGAGCACCGCAAGCGTACTACCATCGGGGTTGAGCTCGCAGCAAAGGTACATCCTTTGGAGCTACATTTTCGATGTCGTGCTGACAGTTTTAAAGCCCAAACTGCTTTTATTCCTTGACGAACCAACATCCGGCCTCGATTCCCAGTCCGCCTGGGCAATCATGACGTTCCTTCGTGAACTAGCAAACAATGGACAGGCCATTCTTTGCACGTGAGTATGCTAGACTTGGGATTTTAATGCACGCTTAATTGTTGTAACTAGCATTCACCAACCCTCTGCCGAGCTCTTCCAGGTGTTTGACAGACTACTGCTTCTGCGCAAGGGTGGTCAGACCGTTTACTTTGGTGATATCGGCGATAAATCCTCGATTATGCTGGATTACTTTGAGCGCAACGGAGCTACTCACTGTGACGCCGATGCTAATCCGTAAGTCGCTTCGTCTACATCTCTGAAATGTCTTTCATGTCGTTATCCAAGTGCTGAGTACATGCTGGATACCATTGGGGCCGGCGCAACCGCGAATGCCTCTGTCGACTGGCATGACATTTGGAAGGGATCTCCGGAAGCTGCTGAACTTCAAGCACAGATCGAACGGATGCACGCTGAAGGTCGCGCACGGCCATCGGTTGAGACGGAACGTCACTCTGAATTTGCCACCTCCTGGATTCACCAAGCTGTTGTCCTAACGAACCGCAACTTCCTTGCCTACTGGCGTAACCCGACATACCTCCTCGCGAAGATCATTCTCAACATCGCGGGCGGTTTGCTCATTGGGTTTACTTTCTTCAACTCTCAGGACAGCTTGCAAGGGACGCAGAACAAGCTTTTTGTGCGTTTATTCCATGCTCGCTCTAAGTCATGCACTAACTTCAGTGCAGTCAATTTTCCTAGCAACTGTTCTATCTGTTCCCATAACTCAACAACTCCAAGCTGTCTACATTGATATCCGGTCCATCTATGAAATCCGCGAGCGACCAAGCAGAATGTACAGTTGGACTGCACTTGCTACGTCGCAGATCCTGGTCGAGATTCCCTGGAACATCTTATGCTCCTCGCTGTTCTTTGTCTGTTGGTACTGGACGGTCGGTTTCGCCACCGATCGAGCAGGCTACACATACTTGATGTATGGAATCGTGTTCCCCCTCTATTACACCACCATCGCAGAGGCGGTCGGAGCCATGGCACCGAACGCAGTGATCGCATCGTTGTTGTTCAGTACCGTATTTTCATTCGTGGTTATCTTGTGAGTTCAACTTGTTTCTTTTGCCGGTCCAATCGCTAACACCTCTGAAGTAATGGTGTTTTGCAGCCTTTCCGTGCGCTGGGTTGGTGGAAGTGGATGTACAGGGTGTCCCCGTTCACCTACCTTGTCGAAGGCCTCCTGGGTCAAGGTCAGTGCACACTCTCTTCCGTTTGACTTTTACTAAGGCTTCCCTCAGCTCTTGGTGGACAGTTGATCAATTGCGCGTCAAGTGAATTAGTGCAAATTAATCCTCCCAGCGGACTCAGTTGCGCGACGTATATGGATCCCTTCATATCTTTTTCCGGGGGCTATGTCACAAACCCCGATGCGACGACTCAATGCCTATACTGTCCTTACCGAACCACCGATCAGTTCATGTACAGCAGTTTCAACATCTTGGATTCTCATCACTGGCGAAACACGGGCATTGTACTGGGCGTCGCCGTGTTCAATGTGCGTTCCTTTTATTTGACTGCCCTGCACGCGCGCTCATCAGTTTTAACTTATAGGTATGTGCCGTGTTCGCGTTCACATATATATTCCGCATCCGGAAGGGCAGCATATTCAGTCTTTTCAAGGGACGACGATAGAAATTATACCATTGCTTTTGCGAGGCTGTGTATTTAGAGTTTATATACGAGCGTTTGTAATGTCTTAGAGGCTATTGCTATTTCAGCTGAAGAAGCATTAATTCAATGAGCAGTTTGAGATAGTCATATGTTCAGAACTGGTTCATGTGAGCAATGTAACAGCTTGGGTACGTAGGTAAATTTCCATAAGAGAATGCATAACACAGCGCTGATCACCGTATCGACAAAATCCCCGACCTCGTCGTCGAACTCGACCTCTCTTTCCCCTCTTTCTTTTTTTTTGCGCCCACCCCCTCCCATATCCTCCAAAACTTCAGATTCTCATCTCCGGCACCCGTGCACACGACGTCGCCCGCAGGCCCTACCGCTGTATATAGCACTCGCGAGTCGTGTGCATCCCGTATCTCCGCGATACGCTCGAGCGACGGGTACGCGTGCACCATAATTGCGTTTGTAGGGTATCCATGCGTCGTGAGGATTTCTTTTTTATGTGGTGACCAGATGATGGAGGTGACTTGGGACGGCGTTTTGAGAGAGTGTAGGCGGGCACCAGTGCCACTGTTCCAGACGTGAACAGTTGCGTCGTTTGTGCCCCCGCCGCTGGCCAAGAGAGAAGATTGCCAGGGGCACCAAGCAATTGCCTACATAGTGTGTTAGATACGCCAAATATAATCGAGAGAATACGGCTTACCTTTACGGCTGCGGTATGGTTCCGCTTCGTCCACTTGGCTTGCCCGCGCGCGCCCTCCGTAACATCACCTACACGTCCATCCCAAATATTGACAACATTGTCGTTACCTCCGCTCGCTAGAAGTTCGCCGTCCGCTCTCCACTTCAATCCGCAGACTTCTCCTGTGTGTCCAAGCAGCTCCATGACCTTGTGCCGAGGGACACGGACATCATGGTGCCATATACTTCCGTCCCCACATCCAGAGCTAAGTATGTGGGCGTTCCAAGATAGCACGGCAATTTGACCCTGGTGACCACCCATCGTCCGGAGCTTCTGTCCGGCTTCAACATCCCACAACTCAACTTCGCCAGTACCGAGACCAACACCGAGGTAAGCACCATCATTCGAAAAATCAACCGAAGATACATATGTGCCCTCAGGCGCTTCACCAAGGTGAGAGACGACTCCCGTATCGGCTCGCCAGACGTACGTGCTCTCAGCAAGGGCGACAGCAACAATGTTTTGAATAGACCATGATACCAGATTGAGGTAAAAGTCATCAACCATACCTGGAGCATCGAGGACGCGCTCAGGCTGGGGGGGAATGCGGCGGGACTTGTTGGTTGTAGAGCTAGTTGACGAAGGGAGTTCACCTGGGCGTCCGTAGAGCGGACGAGCTAGTTCACGCTGCTGGGAAAGTGTGGAGTCTGAAGAAGACGCTGGGGGGGCCTCGTGGTAAGCTAGCACGCGGCGATTGAGAGGGACACCTGTGGCAGCTGCAAGACGAGCTGTATGTCCTGGTGATACGGTTTTTGGGTTGAGACTCATGAGTTCGAGCGTGGCAGCGACGTCGTCGGCTTCGCGAGTGGTAATAAAACGATCACGGTTGTCACTGGTAGATTGTGTGCGCTCCCGAGTGGCAGGGGTTGATCTTGAGCGCTTTAGCTCTGGTCTAGGCTGTGATGTAGGGGGCAAGTAGTCGCGTGAAACGACGTCCAAACGGGTCTCAATGCCGCCTTTCCGGATGACTCCTCCACCCGCTTGTCGCTGAAATGAGTCTGAGACGGCAGTGCCACCTCCAGTTGCGCGTTTTACGGGAGATGCTTGTCGCGATTTGGTGATGAATGGATTTGAGAGGTCAGCAGGATGAGATCGTTTCTGCGGGGAGATGGAGATACTATTGAAGGCAGAGATGATAGATGGAGTGAGCGGCGTCTTTGCATCTGAACGTGATCTATAGCGAGATGGTGTCTTGGGTATCGAGGTCATTGTGACGCACAGCGAGTACCACAATCAGAATGACAGAGCAAATGGAAGGCGCGAGCAAAAGAAGACAGCAATTGTGTGATTGACGCATGGTTTGTAGTATTTTGAACGTGTAGGCACGTGTATGTCACGTGCTTTGTTTTTCGGCTTGATTTCTGTCCACGTGCTTTGATTTTCGACGCGTGTCATGTGTCAGCCAAAGTCCTCCGAGTTGGTGTCAGCCAGCTTCCACTGAACAGTATGAAAAACAGTCCATGTACGAATAAGATAACTTCTTTTTTTCTCTCGCAACCACGATCATTTTTATCTCCGTCGTTTTCACGACGATACCACGTTCATTACCTTCAAGCGCCCGAATGACGTCCCTCAGAATCATCTTCATATCGTTTCTTCTCCTTATAAGCATCACCCACGGTAGTCCTATTGAATCGCCCAGAGATGATGCCCAACAGGTAGAGACCATCCCATTCACCGGGGTTAATCCTACAGATCCACGCCCGGCGCACGGCCCTGACGGCCTCCGTCCCGCCTCAGCTGCAATGGCAATGATCATTGGCGCTGCCCAATCCAAGGGGCATGATGCTCCCGGCACCATACTCACACCCTACGAGCAGTCTCACACCACCCCTACCGCTCCCACCGCTCTGTTCATTCCCCCCGCGACCCATGCGACAGCCTCGCCGACTCCCAGCTTCCGCGCCTCCGGAAGTACACCTGGGATCAGCCCCGCGACACAGTCAAATACCTCTCAGCGCAACGTCCTCGTCCTCGCTATCGTTGTCAGCACTGTCCTCGGCCTCCTGGTCTGCGTCACCGTCGGCAAGTACACTCTCGAGTACCTCCGGAAGGCGAAGCGCAGGTTACGGCTGTCCCAGGAATCTTGGGGACACAGGGAGAGGCCGTTCCTTCCTGAAGTGCCCGTGCCAGACACAGAAGCAGAGCGCCAGAGCTTGAAGACATTCTCGTTCCCCGGGCAGCCGGCCCGTAAGGACGTGCATCTGTATGACCCCAACGAAGCATCATCCAAGCCCACCATGCGCACCCGGTTCAGTAACCTAATCGCGTACACTGCGTTCAGGCACCGTGATCACGACAGCGTCACCACGCAAGACACTGCTTCCTCCGCGCCATACCTTCTCAATGTCCCGGGCCATTCAGATCACTCTCGTACCAGGAGCGCACCCATCATCACTCACAATGACTCCATGGCTACTGTGAAACCTGCCAGGTCCACGGAATCAGATTGGGACATCGCCAGGTCGTCCTATCGTGTATCACATGCAAGTGCCAACATCCCGAGCTCCTTGCTTCCTTCTAGAGGCAGTAGGTTGTCCAGACTCGATTCGACGTGGTAATCCTGTCCATCCATTGTATTTCAGAAGCTGCTTCTACTATGGTCAGAATCACAGAAACAATAGCATGTAAAGGATCACGGAGACGTGGTATCTAATTACACAAATTATCGGATATATTGGATGAGAAAACGAACGAAATAGGTATGTGTGCAAGTGAGGGTGTATGAAATCATTAGGTTCAGATAAGCATGATGAATTATTTCCGGAGACTAGCAAGCTTCTGCTGCAGACCGGCTAGGGGGTTGCCCTTGCGGATGCGGCAGATGTACGTGAGCATGAAAATTGCAAAAATCTACAAGGCATGCAGTTAGCTCAATAAAAATACTCTGCGACAATGAGAACTTACGTTGAAAGCAGTAATACCGAGCATGATGCCCAAGTCGCGCCAGTGGTGAGAAGCCTCAATGTTGAACGCGGCAAACATATACTCGTCGGTCGTGCGATAAGGGCAGAACAAACACATGGATGTGGCGTTGGAGTCAGCGACATAGCCCCCGGCATATGATATGAATGGATCCAAGTATTCGGCACAAGTGGATCCACTGGGAGGGATAACGGGGACGAACTCTTGCTGGGCACAGTTAATGGCAGTGCCACCAATAGCTAAAGAAAATGTTATCAACCGCGTACAGACATCGTTCAAAAGACGCACCTTGACCAAGCAGACCCTCGATGAAGTAGGTGAACGGGGAGACGCGGTACATCCACCGCCACCAACCAAGAGCGCGGTATGGTTGCAAGACACCGTTACTATAACACAGTAAGGGACAAAATCATATCACGCGCATCTGCAATACTCACAAGATGACAACAAACGAAAACAGCGCACTGAACAGGAGTGAAGCGATCACAGCACTTGGAGCCATGGAAGCGACTGCCTGCGCGACAGTGGTGTAGTACATGGGGAACACGACGCCGTACATGAGGTATGTGTATCCCGCGCGGTCGTTGGGAAACCCAACGGTCCAGTACCAGCAGAAAAAGAAGAGCGAAGAGCACATAATGTTCCATGGGAGCTCGACCAGAATCTGGCTGACAAGGAGTGCAGTCCAGTTGTACATCCTGCTTGGGCGCTCTCTGATTTCATAGATAGACCGAATGTCGATGAACATCGTCTGAAGCTGCTGCGATAGGGGGACACAGAGCACCGAGGCCAAAAAGATTGCCTATCAAACAGGTTAAAAACTTCTGTGATGTAGTGCAAAACACCACATACGAAGAGCTTGTTCTGGGTACCCTGGAGCGAATCGCTGGTCTTGTAGAACGTGAAGCCAATAAGTAAACCGCCGGCAATGCAAAGCGCAAACTTGGCCATGAGATAGGTTGGATTCCGCCAGTATGCCTGGAAATTACGCTGTGTGAGGGCCATGAGCTGGTGATGCCATGACGTCGCAAACTCGGTGGGGTGTGCTGCTTGAACGATGGGGCGAGCACGGCCTTCATTGTGGATGTTCTCGATCTCCTCTTGGAGTACGGCAGCCTCAGATGAATTCTTCCAGATGGAGTGCCAGTCAACCGAGGTCGACGCTGTTGCACCTGCGCCAATGACATCAAGCATATACTCGGCCCTGGAGTAAGTTGTCAAGTCGAGAAGGGAGAATACAACCAGGAAACACATACGGGTTAGCGTCAGGGTGGCACCGAGAGGCACCGTTGCGCTCGAAATAATTAAGCATGGTAGAAGACCCTTCGCCGATGTCACCGAAGTACACAGTCTGACCTCCCTTCTTAAGGAGCAAGAGACGGTCAAAGACCTGGAACAACTCTCCAGAAGGTTGATGGATGCTACGCCAGGATTGAGCAAATGCACTATAGTACTGGCCATGTCAGGCTTACGTGCAGAGAATGGCCTGGCCGTTGTTGGCAAGCTCGCGAAGGAACTTCATGATGGCCCAAGCAGACTGAGAATCAAGACCTGAGGTAGGCTCATCCAAGAACAAGAGAAGCTTGGGCTATATCACCACACCATTAGCACATCGTTCGACGGCGATACATAACAAGGGCGAACCTTGGCAGCGAGCTCAACGCCAATAGTTGTACGTTTGCGGTGCTCAACGCCCAAAGACCCAACAACGGCATCAGCATAATCCTCGAGACCGCACATGACGAGACACTTGTCAACGCTGAAACAATATTACGAGCCAGTGGCAAAGGAGCCAATGACAACTCACTATTCTGCCAACTCAGCCATAGGAACAGTCTCGGGTTGGCGAAGGTGGGCGGAAAACAGCAGAGCCTCTCGAACAGTAGACTGAGGAAGGTGAGTGTCCATTTGCTGGCAGTAGCCACTGATAAATAATTTGCTTCAGTACTTAGAATCACCCGAATTTTCAAACGGTGCACGCACGTCTGTGCCTGGAAGTCCGCAGGGAGGGGATGACCACTGACTAAACGATCACCAGTCACGACACCGACATCAACACGCTGCGCCAAGACATTAAGGAGCGTAGTCTAGAAATATGTTAGACGGTAATGACATTGGGACATCAAAATGCCTTACCTTTCCAGCACCCGATTCACCCATGAGGGCTGTCAGTTTTCCAGGAACGACAAAACCAGAAACATCGTCCAAGAGTTTACGCTGTGTTCCTCCGGAGATGGGGACCGTGTATTGCAAATGCCTCCAAGTAAAGACGTCCGTTCCTGAGGGCCTATCGAGTTCTACAGGGCTGGCACCTGTACTGGAAGGTCCAGCAGGTTCAGGGTGAGCGCCCTTCTCTTCATCCTTAGACTCATCAACAGCCTCAGCGGCGCGTGTACCCTGCTTGAAAAGCGTGACAGCGGTGTCAAATGCAGAAGCGGTGTTGAATTCGGTCGCAGTGAATAGAATGATGAGGAAGCCAACAAAGAAGACACAGACGACACCAAAATCCTTGAATAGCACAAATTAGTGGATCTTTATGCCTGAGAATCATTTATGGACTTACCCTCCAAAGGTTGCTGTAGTAGTAGTCATAGGACAATTCCGCGAAGAGGTTGCCGTTGACATAATCCTGACCTGGCTGGGCACCGACCGTAGAGCACACCTGGTTCGCCAACGAAATATTTGGATACGCGGGACCCGAGGGGATGAGCATTGAGCAGGTGCCATTCAGAGTGTGGAACTCGTTCATCAGCAGAGCTTCGAAACCATAGCGCACGGGCTACACAATAGCTGTGAGCACGCAAGCCTATAATTAAAATCCAAAAACGCACGTTGATATACATAATCCAGCGAAGAGCAGCGGGAATGTTAGGCTTAGGAATGGTATACCCAGTGAAGAGCGCCACCACCACCACCACGACACCAGCAAGAGATGTAGCTGCAGATTCAGTCTTAAAGCAAGCGGCAACCATTCTAAAGAATGCCTTCATAGTTGTAGTCATAGCAAAAACGAATAGGAAGAAGATGCTGTATCTGCATTCAGCGAGGCTCGACAGTTGTATCAAATGCAAGACTCACAAGAATTGAGAAACCGTTCTCTGAAGGTCGACCAGGAGATAAAGAATAACCGCGAACACAGCTTGAATAATGAACGTGAACGGGATATCGACCATTGTGTGTGCGAAACTTTCGATGAACGGGTAGTACATTGCTGCCTTGTGGTGCCGGAGCACAATCGGACGCTGAGCGAAGAGAGCCGGAATTTCTGCCATAGACGATAATGCACCGAAGAAGAGAGCGCTGAGGACAAGCTAAATATATGCATAAGCAACTTGGGAAGCAAAATACTCACAAGAACAGGACACCACCACGAGAGAAGAAACCAGACGTTGCATCAGGTAGATTCAAGAACACAGTACCCATGATGATGGACTGGAAGATTTGCACACTGAAGCAAATCCAATGGTCAGATGATCAATGGACTACAATTGGCGGCACACATACGCAAGGTTGACAGCTACAGTGCCCCAGTCTCCCTTGATGATCTGCACGCGGCGCACCATGACGGCTCTAACCTGCATAGGAATAGAGATTGTATACGAGTGGCTCTTTGGAGCTGTGTCAGCGTGCTCCATTACGACACTCTGCCTGTATGCATCCTTGCGCTCGGGCTTCCCGACATTGTGGAAGCGGTAATTCTCAACGGAGTCGCGGTTTAACTGACCAAGAGAAGAAGCGAGGAATGCAGCAGCCATTTCCTCCGACGTTCCGGGAACTTTGCCCTCGAAACCGTCACGAATCTTACGCCCGCTTGGGTTAGTCACTGGAAATCACTGCATAAACGACTAAATCTCTTCTAAACCAAACATAGAACATACCGGACACGAGGAAATCAGCAGTGGTCTGCCTGTCCTGCGGTTCGTATCCCATATCGATGAAATACTGACGTGCATCCTTAGCGGGGCCAAAGTACGCCATCTTGCCTTCTGTAATGACGCATACTTTGTCGAAGAGGTCGTAAAGTTGCTCCCCTGCTTGGTAAATAGACACAATGGTGGTAAGACGAGCTATATCCGTGCCGATACGTAGTGCTTGAACAAATTCAAGTGCAGTGGATGCGTCGAGACCACGAGTGGAGCTAGAATGACATTGTTATCAACACCGCTGCCAACGCAAAACAAACATATGAGAACTCACTTGTCCCACGCGCCAATCAGGGCACGGCAAGACAGTGCTTCTGCGATCGACACACGTTTCTTTTCACCTCCTGAAACACCACGAATGGCAGCATCGCCAACAACAGTGTCTCGGGCATGTCGAAGACCGAAGATGCGCATAAGAATTTCCACCACGTCACGATTATACTGTTCACGGGATTGGTCTGTGAACCGGGCGTGTGGAGTACGCGTTTTGATGGCGAAAGACAAGGTTTGCTCGACAGTCAGGGTCGGAAAGTGGACATCATCCTCCGGACAGTAAATTACATCTCCACGATACTGCCTTGCGATGTCTTCGGAGGTGAAGGAGTCGTAGCAAACTTCGCCCTGTACAGCATGGTATTCACCACGTTGGTTTGCGATAGTCTTGAGGAACGTGCTGCAGCCGGAACCAGGTCGTCCGAGAACCACTGTCACAAACACGTGATTAGCGCGAAATTTTAATTTTACGTTAGTTTATTAAAGTGACTAACGGAGCATTTCACCAGGCTGAACGACACCCTCGAATCCTGAGAGAATATCCCTGACAGGCGGGTTGCGCATCGCAGAAATGTTTCTCAAGATGGCGGTAGGATTAAACATAGAACCAATGGTGGGCTGCAAAGAAGCGCGTGCGCCAACACCGACGACACGGAGATCCTTGAACATAACGCCAAGTTCCCGGCCCTTAATGGACTCCTCGCCACGACTAGTGATACATGTCAACAAAGGCAAAGGATTTTTATTGCAAAACTCACCGTCTGATAAGGTCTTTAAGTGTAAGTTCAAAATCGAAAGCATCATCACCGGGCACAGAAGATACAGAGGATGAGCTTGGGGTGTCAACCTCCATAGGTGGGGCAGACATAGAAGGCTTGGATTTGGATGTACTTTCCCGACGATTAATTTGAGAACGAGTGGAACGTGTTGTCATTGTGCGTTTGAGTTCGCTAACACCAACTGGGTCAAAAAAGTTGACTGGAACGCGTGAGGGAGATGAGGGAACGGCTTCGTGAGCCTCATCTTGATTTGGCTCGTCCTGAGGAACATTAGTTTCCAGCTGGAGGCCGGGAAGACTCATGATGAGGAACACAAAGGAAGGGAAGGGGAAAAGTTGATGATACTAAAGACGACAATGGCGAACTGGGAAACTAAATAGTCTATCGGCAAGGGCATTATTTCGGCCAGGGTGATCAAAACGGTGCTCATCCGACCGAAATACGACACCTTCCACGGAGATCACAATACATTTACCTCATGAAACCGAAGAACATCATGTCTCGCGGACTTTTAATATCTGAACGGTAAACGGTAAACCCCGACAAGCACTGCAGGGTACTGCGCCATATCCATGCCCGACATCATGCCCGACCCTCACCGTGGGCACCCCGAACGCATCCCCGAAGACTGCGATGACGAACGTACTCGGCATGGGGAGCGACGTGAACCATGAACCTGACGAGCCCAGGCGCAACCAAAAATTTCCAAAACGTCGGTATAGATGCCTTCGAATTCTCGGATCCTTCCACTTCTTCTGATCGGGAAGCGGTCAAAACATGGCGAACCTCTGTGATACCTATATCTGATAACGAGCGTATTCAGCTAGCTATCGATAAGTAGCCATGTCGTCCGTAACTGATTCTGTCATCTTTAGAAACATATTCTCTACTCCAGCCATCTCCTCCATCTGGTCAGACACACAACGCACTTCCTATTATCTCCTCTTTGAAGCATCCTTGGCATCTGTCCAGGCAGATATCGGAATCATTCCTCGCCAGGCTGCCGATGCCATCCTCGCCTTTTGCCATGTCACCAACATAGACTTCGATGAATTAAGAATACAAACAGAAAAAATAGGTTATCCCGTCCTAGGGGTAGTCAAACAGATAGTCCAGAATGTAAACAATCTCCAGCCTGGTCTGGGCGAATGGGCTCACTGGGGCGCTACCACCCAGGTACATCACATGCGCTCTTATCATACTGGGTTTCAGATTTTTTTTGTCTCAGGATGTCACCGACACCGCAACAATCCTACAACTTCGTGATACTCTCAATCTTATCTCAGAGGCATTGGACGCAATTACCTCGGACCTCCGCAATCTCTGTCAAACTCACAAAGCAACCCTCATGGTAGCTCGCAGCAACCTTCAGCAAGCCGTACCCATGACCTTTGGCTTCAAGATGGCCCGCCTCCTCGCCACCTTTGAAAGGCACAAACAACGCCTCGCTGAAATAAAATCCCGTCTGCTCGTGCTCGAGTTCGGTGGCGCTGCCGGGACACTCGCCACTATCAAAGATGGTCGGGGTCTCGAATGCCAAGCAGCCCTCGCCAAGAAACTGGGTCTATCAGTTCCAGAGATCGCATGGCACACAGAACGTGATCGCATCGCTGAAGTTGGCGGCTTTTTCGCCCTTCTCACCGGGACCTGTGCTAAATTCGCCACGGACGTCAAGCTCATGATGCAAACGGAAGTCGGAGAGGTCTCAGAGCCATTCTATCCGCACCGCGGCTCCTCCTCGACGATGCCACAGAAACGCAATCCCATCTCCAGCGTGTATATCACCGCCATGGCTGCGACTGTCCGTCAGCTCTCTGCAGCACTGTATGATGCCATGGTTGAGGACCACGAACGCGCAACGGGGCCTTGGGAGATTGAGTGGATCGTGCTCCCGCAGATCTGCACTCTCACGCACGCTGCATTATTGAAAACATCCGAGCTCATTACGGGGCTGGAAGTCCATTCGGGCGCTATGAAGAAAAATTTGGAAATTACAAGAGGCGGCGTGGTAAGCGAGGCTGTCATGATGGGTCTTGCTCCAAAATTAGGACGACAGTTTGCGCATGATTTGGTTTACGAACTGTGTAGGCGGAGTGTCCAGGAGGATCTCCCTTTGTTGACACTGCTCTGTGCGGATGATAAAGTCCGGGAGAGTGGGCTATCGAAAGAGGAGCTTGAGGGGCTTTGTGATCCAGCTAATTACACGGGGTTGTCCGTGGAAATGGTCGATCGTGTTTTGGCAAGTACCCACCCCTGTCAGTAAATAGGACTTTGCTTACTATCAGTTAATAGGCTGCAACGAGTTGAAACAAGTTTCATCAGCTGTCGTTTATCACTTTCCACGTTCGTCAATCATCACACTAGGTTGTACACGTACTAGTATTGCAGCGATGTCCTAAGTACATGCCCGGGGTGACGCCAATCTCGGCCGGTCAGTGCTAGGCACCGAACACACAGCATCAGAGCCGCACGTCCCAGGTCATCAGACCATGTACAGTAGTCCTCTCCGTCTTATCTACTGCACTGGCCCAGATTTAATTGAACCTACCAGAGTCTGATGAGATCGTCTGACGGTTGACACATCCCGGACTAATTAGCTGATAACATCACGCATTGGTGCAACTTTGGCCATGGCTTTGAGGCACTGCGAATGATCAATCAGAAGATGATAATCGACTTCATGATACAGCTGATTATTATGAAACGAGCAAGTATTAGTTAAGGCACTCATTCTTGGTAACAGCACTTCATGCATTATAAGCCATTCGCAGCTTCTTCGTCTGATGTCTAGCAATCACCCCTTGTCATGGCATCTGATTGAGGCACGTCACATGCCAAGACACAGTCGAGCAATCCATCTCGTACAAATCTCGTAGACTGGATATTTTCATGGACTGACCAATTACCAGTTAGAAGTATGACCTTGTGGTGCTTGAAGTAACAAGCGCCCAGGTGGTGTCAATGAGCTCGAGCTTGCTTTCCCACTTCCACGGGTGTGCTCGTAGATGCCCACCTTGGGAGGAGAATACAAAAGTCAGCGCGCAGGGCGGAATAGGCTTGCTCAGGAGTCAGACTCCCTAGGCGATGCTCTCCGGAGAACGGAGAACAAACATTCAGGCGATAGATTGCCAAATAACATGAGGGACGGTAAAGATAAGAAATTACCTTATCAACATGGCGAAACAAAAGAAGAAAGAATATTGCATAAATAAGTGAAAACGTCCTGGAACGTGAATAAAATAGTTCATCACATTATCCATATCCCAGGGGGGTTTACTAACTGGATTTGCATGTAACACATAACAAACATTAGCAAGGGCCTGTATAAAGAGGGAAGCGGATATAAGAGATCGAGACGTGGACTGAAATGAGAGGAGTGGCTGAGAGCTTGTTCGCATAGGCAAGTCCAATAGCATGCCCCACGGTCCTCAAGCGAAGTATTGCAATAAGGAATTCTGACACCACTGTCACGCACGGTGCGAGATAACATCAATTTGGCCGTCGACACATCGATGAGTCAAGGCGAAGTAGCTCATATGTTTAGACGAGAGGGGTATGTCAACTGTGCGCCACGGTCGTGCCACCTGTCCACCTTGATAGTTTTGGAACTTGAGCCCGCAACGACTCCAAGTCGTCGGTAGCTAGGCGAGTCACACGGAGTACCGTAACAAGGTAAACCTCGTCCGACTCTACGCCCAGTGTCAGGAACTGTGGTACGGCTCTTTGCGGCATTTAGTTAGGCACGAGCCAAGGAACGAGGGGATTTTCCCGTGCGAAGGAGTTCGTCAGAGGGCGCAAATGCATGTCCTAATGCCATGTCGAAGGAACGCGAAGCTAACTATTTGGGTGGGCGCGACGCCGTGGAGCAGGCATAGTTTCTGATGGAATAGAAGTAAGAAGTGATGACCGGTGACCAAGCGTACTGGAGTTCGTAGTATCGTACTGGGTGTGTACCGGGGAGTTAGGAATCACTTTGAGTCACGACTGAGCAGAGAGCTTGTACTTACTACCACTACAATCGGCACCCCACAGAAGTCGGCAGTCACGCAATTGTCACAGAGTCACGACATGGTAGGCTGGTTTCAAAGTCAGCTCGGTAGTCAAGCAAAAGCGCAATGTCAGTTACTTAGTATTCAGCGTGAACGAGCAATTAGCCAGACCACCCTGGTACAGCGGATTCAAAACTTGCCGACGGTCTTGAATTTTCTTCGGAAGTTCACCTCAACTTACGAAACGTCCTGGCCAAAGTGATTACCATAGAATCGAGATCTGTTTCTTCTGGACGGTGCAGGTTCAAAACCTGCCAACGATAAGTCTTTTCTTTCTCGGAACACATCTCGACATTTGTTCATGGATGGTTTCATCCGAGATTCATCTAACTGCTCTTAGCCAAGTGGTTATCGTAACAGAATCAAAATCTGTTTCTCTTGGCTAGACTGTGCAGGTTTGAAACCTGCCGAACGACGGGTTTTTTTCCATCAGAACACACCTTAAAGATTCGCTTATGGATGATTTCCTCGGAGGTTTCAACTTGTCCTGCCCAAAGCGGTTACCACAACAGAATTTAAGTCTGTCTCTTGGACTGTGCTAGTGCAGGTTCGAAACCTACTGACGACAAGGTTTTTTTACTATTAGAACACATCCCAAACATTCGGTCGTGGATGGTTTCCTTGGAGGTCCATCTCAACTGGTCTTATAGCCAGGTGGTTACCACAACGGAATCAAAATCTGTCAAACCTGCCGACGACAGTTTTTTTGCCTATGGAATACACTTTGACATATTTATGGTTTCGTCGGATGTGTGTCTTAACTGGTCTTAGTCAAGTGGTACTACCGCAACAGAATCAAAATCTATTTCTCTTGGGCTGCGCAGGTCCTTTTCTATCGGAACACACCTTGACATTGACTCACGGATGGTTTCCTCGGAAGTCTATCTAACCGGTCTTAGCGGAGTAGTTATCACAACAGACTCAAAATCTGTTTCTCTTGGAGTTGGTTCGAAACCTGCCGACAACATTCTTGCGGTGTATAGATCTTCGGAGGTCCATCTTGACTAGGCCCAGTCATTGCGTCGAAACCTCCTTTTTATGTGATAGTCTGTCCATGAAAAGGGATTGACCTTCACGCCCCGTGATGGCCTCGGAAAGGTTTCTAGTTATCATCCTTAACTTATGGGCGATTCAACAAGAATGCGATGTCGAGAACTTAAACACCATTCATATGCTGTAGGTGTTGATTCCATCACGCTCGTTCACTGTTTATTCACTGTAAGTCATTCTCATTCATCACTCTCGATATCCTAATGCACTCACAATCTCATCTGACCTTGGTCAAGTGAAACCAACCTTCGCAAGTTGATACGACCACTGTTAAACATGCATTGCCGGCTGACTAAAATAACGCAAACTTGGTGATGGTCCTTCACTAGACTGTCCGATGAAGGGCCACCACCAAGTTTGCGTCAGGACAGATCTCTCAAAGGAAAGGAATGTTAGGGTGCTCGAGGTCTGACTACTGATCAATCCAACCCCCTAAGTTGTGCTGTCTGAAAGTTATATCCATCCCAATCATTTGTCAGAAGGTGTCTATTGAAATGCGCTCATTCTCATCATACATATTGCATTGTAATTGTCCAACAGCGTAGCTTTTCTCGATTGTTGCTCTGGCTCGCTTCATTCCAAAGGATATCAAGTACTGATGATTGCTGAGCGCTGAGGGTGGGCCAGACATACGATTGTCAACAAACAAACAAATTCAAATTTTGACCAAGTTATCTGGCCTATTTCTCTCCTAAAGACGCCAGATCTGCTTTCAATCATGAAAGCATTCAGAAAGAGGAGCATGAAATTGCTCCGTGAGGTCTACACATTAATATCCTTCTCTCGTTTAAGTTCTCCCGTCAACTTAACGCCGACATACATCCATCGGCTGCCAGTGGAACTTCTGCAACAAGTCTTCTCGCTCATTGTTAACGACATGCCATGGCCAGGCTGTCCCAGTATCTTCTTATTAAAATATTGCTCTATTTCGCTCAACGTTGCCAACCCTCCCCTAGTCTTCACCAGAGTGTGCCGTTTTTGGCGAGCCATTGCACATTCAACGCCAGAAGTCTGGTCGCGCATCCTAGTCACGCTACCTGGGAAAACCAAACCATGGAAACCATTTCTTCCATATTTCCTCCAGTGTTGGCTTGCTCGCTCTGGCAGGCTTCCCCTCACCATTTGCATTGTTGACGATTCCCATACCCGCAGACGCAGTTGGGTTAAAGAAGTGGGCAAATTCTCGACTTCTCGATATCCTCCTTTCTGAGAGCCAGCGTTGAGAAACAGTGTTTATGTCACCCGCTCAAGGCTGGAATCCTGACTTCAACACACCTCGGTTGAGAATTTTGTCGTGCAATGAGTCAAATCTCAGGAGAATCAATGCACCAAGGCTTTCCTACCTACACATCGATGGTCGCTTTCATTTGACCGTCCCAGACCGACAGCCCGCCCTTACTTGCAAAGATTTACGTTACATCCACCTGCAGGGCCGCTTCCGCGACTGCTATGTGCTCCACTATAGCCAGTTTCCCTCATTTGGAGACCATCGTGGTTGATGACATTATACCCTTTCCTCCTGGGAATAATCCTACCCCTATAAGTAATTTGGTGCTTGAATCAATGACCCTCCCCTTCTTCTTTTTTCCGGAGGACACCTGGCAAGAATTTATCAAGATATTTACTCGACCTCATCTTCCCATGTTTCGGAAATTGACTCTGGTGGGGGCGCCGGTAAAACCACGAGTCGATTGTCTTTTGGCGATACTAGCAATTGCATCTTTCCAGGTGCCGGTGGTAGACTTTCAGACGGGCACACCGCTGAGCACAGTTCATATGAGCAATATTGTGTCATTGCTCTCAGTTGTGAGAGAGGTTACCTATTATGGGTAAGTGCTCTGCTATCTCGCCCCATGCGCTTGACCATGCAAACCTTGCCTGGTCTAGACACTTGCTTCAGATCAGTTGAGTATCGGAATTCCGCGACAACTGGGGAAACTGAAGCTACCTTTCTCGACAATACACCGATGAATTTTGTCATGCCTTCGCGACAGATGCGAATATGTGGTCCTCAGATTACATGACTCTGAGTACAGAAGTACTACGCCTCACTACAAATTCCGGCCTTCCGTCTCTCGTCTTGTTCATTTTCGCCAGGATGAAGTGATTGCCTAGTATGTGGGTGTAATAAGATTGTGATTTGGCAGGTGCAGATACATAAAGGTGGAGCTTTATCTATAGCGGGCAATGTCATGATAACGTTGAGTTGCATGTCCAATACCTTTTGAGGGAGACGGATGGGTCACAACATTAGTAAATGACCAACCGCATGCCCAAAAGTCTTGAATCAGGTGCTGTTGAAGGGTGCGGGCACGGTGTAGGTGGCGCTGCGCAGTTGTTGACGTACATGGTTGGTTGGTTGACTTCTTGTATCAAGTATCAGGGTACAAATTAAATTGGTAAGTTAGAGTGGAGACCACACCCAAGTGGAGCGTGCGCGTGAAGGACATTTGGAGAAGTTCGGTTACGTTACGTCCACCCAGTGAAGTACTTAGTCCAGTAGATCAATTATGAAAACTAAAGTATTTCCCTTAGGTGACGACGGTCACTGCAGGCTCGTTCCCACCTTGCTGGAGAGGTAAGGGGGCGGTCTCCGAGTACGCCTACACCGTGCCCGCACCCTTCAACAGCACCTGATTCAAGTTGGGTGTGCGGTTGGTCATTCAGTGCTAATGTTGCGACCCATCCGTCTACCTCAAAAGGTATTGGACATGCAACTCACCGTTATCATGACATTGCACGCTATAGATAAAGCTCCACCTTTATGTATCTGCACCTGCCAAATCACAATCTTATTACACCCACATACTAGGCAATCACTTCATCCTGGCGAAAATGAACAAGACGAGAGACGGAAGGCCGAAATTTGTAGTGAGGCGTAGTACTTCTGTACTCAGAGTCATGTAATCTGAGGACCAATATTCGCATCTGTCGCGAAGGCATGACAAATTCATCGGTGGTATATGTCGAGAAAGGTAGCTTCAGTTTCCCCAGTTGTCGCGAATTCCGATACTCAACTGATCTGAAGCAAGTGTCTAGACCAGGCAAGGTTTGCATGGTCAAGCGCATGGGGCGAGATAGCAGAGCACTTACCCATAGTAAGTAACCTCTCTCACAACTGAGAGCAATGGAACAATATTGCTCATATGAACTGTGCTCAGCGGTGTGCCCGTCTGAAAGTCTACCACCGGCACCTGGAAAGATGCAATTGCTAGTATCGCCAAAAGACAATCGACTCGTGGTTTTTCCGGCGCCCCCACCAAAGTCAATTTCCGGAACATGGGAAGATGAGGTCGAGTAAATATCTTGATAAATTCTTGCCAGGTGTCCTCCGGAAAAGGAGAAGGGGAGGGTCATTGATTCAAGCACCAAATTACTTATAGGGATATGATTATACCCAGGAGGAAATGGTGCTATGTAATCAACCACAATGGTCTCCAAATGAGGGAAACTGGCTATAGTGGAGCACATAGCAGTCGCGGAAGCGGCCTCCAGGTGGATGTAACGTAAATCTTCGCAAGTAAGGGCGGGCTGTCGGTCCGGGACGGTCCAACGAAAGTAACCATCGATGTGTAGGTAGGAAAGCCTTGGTGCATTGATTCTCCTGAGATTTGACTCATTGCACGACAAAATTCTCAACCGAGGTGTGTTGAAGTCAGGATTCCAGCCTTGAGCGGGTGACATAAACACTGTTTCTCAACGCTGGCTCTCAGAAAGGAGGATATCGAGAAGTCGAGAATTTCCACTTCTTTAACCCAACTGCGTCTGCGGGTATGGGAATCGTCAACAATGCAAATGGTGAGGGGAAGCCTGCCAGAGCGAGCAAGCCAACACTGGAGGAAATATGGAAGAAATGGTTTCCATGGTTTGGTTTTCCCAGGTAGCGTGACCAGGATGCGCGACCAGACTTCTGGCGTTGAATGTGCAATGGCTCGCCAAAAACGGCACACTCTGGTGAAGACTAGGGGAGGGTTGGCAACGTTGAGCGAAATAGAGCAATATTTTAATAAGAAGATACTGGGACAGCCTGGCCATGGCATGTCGTTAACAATGAGCGAGAAGACTTGTTGCAGAAGTTCCACTGGCAGCCGATGGATGCATGTCGGCGTTAACTTGACGGGAGAACTTGAACGAGAGAAGGATATTAATGTGTAGACCTCACGGAGCAATTTCATGCTCCTCGTGCTGAATGCTTTCCGTCTTTAGGAGAGAAACAGGCCAGATAACTTGGTCAAAATTTGAATTTGTTTGTTTGTTGACAATCGTATGTGCCCACCCTCAGCGCTCAGCGCTCAGCAATCATCAGTACTTGGTATCCTTTGGAATGTAGCGAGCCAGAGCAACGATTGAGAAAAGCTACGGAAAATTCGCTGTTGGACAATTACAATGCAACATGTATGATGAGAACGAGCGCATTTCAATAGACAGCTTCTGACAAATGACTGGGATGGATATACTCCCAGAAAGCACGACTTAGAGGGTTGGATTTACCAGTACTCAGAACTCGAGCACCCTAACATTCCTTTCCTTTGAGAGATCTGTCCTGACGCAAACTTGGTGGTGGCCCTTCATCGGACAGTCTAGTGAAGGACCATCACCAAGTTTGCGTCATTTTAGTCAACCGGCAATGCATGTTTGATAGTGGTCGTAACATGATCAGCTTGCGAAGGTTGGTTCCACTTGACCAAGGTCAGATGAGGTTGTGAGTGCATTAAGAGATCGAGAGTGATGAATGAGAATAACTCACAGTGAATAAACAGTGAACGAGCGTGATGGAATCGACACCTACAGTATATGAATGGTGTTTAAGTTCTCGACATCGCATTCTTGTCGAATCATATTCTCGAACGCATAAGTCAAGGATGATAACTAGAAACCTTTCCGAGGCCATCGCGGGGCGTGAAGGTGAATTTCTTTTCATGGACAGACTATCACATAAAAAGGAGGTTTCGACGCAATGACTGGGCCTAGTCAAGATGGACCTCCGAAGATCTATACACCGCAAGAATGTTATCGGCAGGTTTCGAACCAACTCCAAGAGAAACAGATTTTGAGTCTGTTGTGATAACTACTCGGCTAAGACAAGTTAGATAGACCCCCGAGTAAACCATCCATGAGTCCGTGTTCCGATAGAAAAGAACCTGCGCAGTCCAAGAGAAATATCTTTTGATTCTGTTGCGGTAGTGCCACCTTGAGTAAGACCAGTTAAGATACACATCCGACGAAACCATAAATATGTCAAAGTGTATTCCATAGGCAAAAAACTGTCGTCGACAGATTTTGATTCCGTTGTGGTAACCACCTGGCTATAAGACCAGTTAAGATGGTCCTCCAAGGAAACCATCCACGACCGACTGTTCAGTCCTAATAGTAAAAACAACCTTGCTGTCAGTAGCTTTCGAACCTGCACTGGCACAGTCCAAGAGACAGGCTTACATTCTGTTGTAGTAACCGCCTTGGCAGGACAAAGTTGAAACGAGGAAATCATCCATAAGCGAATCTTTAAGGTGTGTTCTGATGGAAAAAAACCCGTCGTTCGGCAGGTTTCAAACCTGCACAGTCCAAGAGAAACAGATTTTGATTCTGTTACGATAATCACTTGGCTAAGAGCAGTTAGATGAATCTCGGATGAAACCATCCATGAACAAATGTCGAGGTGTGTTCCGAAAGAGAAAAGACTTATCGTTGGCAGGTTTTGAACCTGCACAGTTCAGAAGAAACAGATTTCAATTCTATTGTAATCACTTTGGCCAGGACGTTTCGTAAGTTGGGGTGAACCTCCAGAAAATTCAAGAAATGTCCATGAGTGAATGTCAGGGTGTGATAAGACATTCGTCGGCAAGTTTTGAATCCGCTGTACCAGTGGTCCAGGGCTAATTGCTCGTTCCTGCTGAATACTAATAAGTAACCAGGCTCGTTCCCACCTTGCTGGAGAGGAAGGCGGTCTCTGAGTATACGGTAGTGTAAAGCTTAGTAAACCGGAAACATGCGCAAATATTTCAAACCCGTTGTGCTGGGTTTGAATAGTCACGTGGTATTTATTGGATCCGAGTCTGTCTATAGGCTGTACATAGACCGCCCTCGAACCTCTCCAGCTGCGGTGGGTACGAGCCTGCGGTCACTGGTGAAATGAACGATAGTCATTTTGCATTTTCGTCCGGAGTCTCATTTGAATAATCACTAGTAAATAATCATCAACGGGTGCATATTTTCTTTCATGCCCTCACCGCTCTAATACCATGCCAGTCAGTTCATGTCACCAACACCTGGATGGCACTCGTACCCCCCGTCACGTACGATAGGCAAGCACAGAACATGACCACAAATCAGAACCAGTCAATCCACACGCACTGGACGAGATGGCTCAGGAGTCCGAAGGACGTGAGTTATATGCCGCTCAAAACTTGACACTCAGAAAGAAAGTCCGACCATGTTTATGCAAACCTTAACACACATCAACTTGTGGTGAGCCCTCATAACAAGACCGAAGAGACCGCCCCAGTATCAGCCATTTCCTAGCCGCGCTCCTTCGTACATTCGTGTCGGAGTCTAGTTGAGATAGAGTCTTTGAGACCGTCGAAAAGCCTCCTTCTCAACTGACTTGCCCACTGTTCCACAACGCAGGTGGGCCGTATTCCATGCCGGTGGTTGAATCATGTTCCCGGATGGCAGATTCGTCAAGTTTTTGGGACGAGAATCGGGATAATTGCGATATGAAATGTTCACTGCTTCACATCGAGTATTGCATATTAATAGTGGGGAATGCATGTTCCTCCGATGTCTAATCAATCATCCAGCGACTGAAAGCAGCCCGGCAAAAGTTCCCGGGCTGTTCATCTCAGTCATTGGATCTTGATGGCCCTTTGATACCTCGAGGTTGTAGTTTCTGTATCGGATCATACCGTGCCAACAAGACGCCTCATTCAAACGGTCATCAGAACCGATTGATCCCTCAAGACCTCATCATCCAAAACCTGCGCTTATGGTACCACGTACCTTTTTGGTTCCCCTCGTAATGCAGCACGATACTTCGTCTTCATATATAAATACTACAATTTGCAATGCATCCTCCCATTGTCCTCATCATCCGCGCCTTTAGCACTCAAGGAACACATGATACTCTCTAGTACACCGTCAGTCCTTTGTGTATCATCTGTACGAGCACCAGTGCTGCTGGTTTGCTGATATCGTATGTAGGAGTTTGAGAAGACCATTCCTTGAGGAGAAAGAACTTGCCAGAATCATATTGCACGACCTCTGTCACTGTGGGGTCAACATTGGGACTGTCAAGTCAACTCTGCCTGGTATGTATCACCATGGTCTGCGTGTTGATCTTTATCAGCCAGAGTAGTAGAGGATGTTGGATATGCTCGTGGGGTAGAGCAACGTCATGAAACTGAACGAACCAAGGTGGGCTATTCTCAGCATATACGGTCTTCGGCGCTATTGATGGTCGTTGCCCTTGCAGGTGACGGCGGAAGTCAAGAACTTTAGCTGTGACGCTAAAAGGCAACACAAGCACCTCCCCTGATGAAGAGAATAGACCGACATCGTTGCCACTCTCACAAGAGCATCAAGCAAGTCGAGAAGAAGAATGCGCTGCCGAGCTTTGGCATCACAATGGGATGCCCTCAGTGCTGGTATTCTGTGTGTTCACATAGCCGAAAGACACTCGTCCTTGGGATTTTTTCTTGCAGCAGATCGGCTTCGTTGACCTCATCTGCCCGGTGTTAGCCGCCAGATTACACTTGACAACACATGCAGTGAGGTAAGTTCAGGTTATCTTATTGTGTTCTTTCCGCACTGGAACAAACCATAAGCGCAGGTGACTTCACATTCGACAACTGCTACGTTGACGTCATCCTAAGTTCAATTTTCCTCATTTCCGAGGTACATCCAGCAGCTCGGAAGTACGCCACATCAAGGCAAACGTCGCACAGGTCGTGAGACATTATGGCAGTTGTTTTTTTCGCCGTTTTCCAATGACGGAAGTTGGACGAAAGCACAAAAGAAACGTGAGTCGAAATAAGGAAAATACTACCCTAAACTATGACCAAGTGTTCAGGGACGTTATCTGTACGGCCATTTGACGTGTTCTTCTGTCGACGAACTTAAAGGGGCCAGTGACTACTTCGCAAAACAAAGATGGTAAGTGATGCATCTTTTCTTTTCGACTTTGGTCAAAACACACTGGATTCGTCCCCTGTATACATCCATGCAGAAGTGCAGTGGTTCGATAAGCGCCCACCGACTCAGGGGATCTTTATTAGCTACGAGTTCGACGCAGTCCATGGAACAGACCAAACGCAGAAGCCAGCAGGTACGGGTGCGCATAAGATCCGGAAATTCTAGAGTGGACAAGAGAACTGGCCGAATCCATTTGTCGTTTGTGCCTAGAAATATATCCGTACTATGTATACCCTGCATGAAAGATAGCCAATCGCATCGAAAAGAAAAACACTTGCCGGATTTGCGATGGAGTGAAGGAACAATCAGACAGGTGAATCGATCTAGGCATGCACGGAGGGGCAATCTATTTAATTCAGGGCAAGGGAAGCTCCCGCAAAGACCAAGATGGGAGCTGCTACTGATAATGTGAGTACTACAAAGGGTCCTAGGGTCCTAGCCTAGCGTTGACAACAGAATTGCGTTTTTAGCGGTCTATAGTACCTAGGACATCCCTTACGCGTTGTTCTACGGAACTCCAACGCACGTGGTCAGCCAAAGGCATACGGAAATGTTTCACCGCAAGCATCATCTGCTGTGCGCACTTGTCCACATCAATGCCTCCGGTACCCGTGCCAAATCCTGTCATCAAAACTGTCTGAATCTTAACATGGCCCTCCGCATCAGAGGCTTTATTCCACCGGTCGAGTTGCACCAAAAGAGACCACATGACATTATAAACAAGATCTTGGTGCCAACTGACATCATCTGGTACGCGCATCGTAGGTGATATGGCAAGGGCACGTGCGTCCCACGGGTTGCCTGCTGAGGTGACATCATCAGGAAGTGGCACGATCATGCAGGAACCAGGGGGGATATAACCATGCCAGACGTCTCGAATGTAAGTCTGGCAGTGATCAGTCAAGTGCCATATATCACCCATTCCCTTCAAAATACGAGAGAATTGATAATCGATTCTGGTATGGGTAAACGGGATGTCCATCTGAAAGGTCAGGAACGTACTGACCCGCCATCCATGATTCCAAATGAATTTGCGGGAGACACTACACAATCGCAGCGCAAGCGTTTAGGATCTACCTCCTGGACTTTACCCTCTATGACGGTAAAGGGAGTCATTCGGGTCAGGAAAGTGTTCTTCGATGGCGCGCGACCAAGCATCGCATAAGGATTCCGACGAGTTGCGTGACTTTGGAGCTATGAGTATGAAATTTGGGAAGTCCATGTGAGTAGGCGAAGCGAGTAAGTACTCTGATCAGACGCCTGTTGCGTGTACTCCGGCTATAACCGGAGATTAGTAATTATGCATCTCCTCGGATTAAACTTCGCGAGGAAGGTCAGGTGCAACGCTTGTACTGAAAATCGTGATTGACCGAGCAAGCCCGTCATACTAAATGGTAAGTACTAGTAGTGAGATTATGAAACAATTAATTTTAAATTTAAGCTGAATGAGGCTTGATGGATGATGTTCTCGAAAGTACTGTTTTTGGCGGAGGTCGGAATACCCCTTCCATGTAATTTAGCTTCTCTGGTCCTTCATGTCGTTCATCGAAGCACTCCGTAGACCACGGCACGTATATCCATCTCAATCGATCCTCAACTTATCTTTTATGCCCCCCTCATCCTCTCCTTACCCTTCCACCCTTCACACTCCTTACATTCCCCACCATGAACGATACTCTCTCCGTCCTAGCTTCACATTTCATTGGTTAGTATCTTATCCCACCCCTTCATGATATCCTACTAACCGCCATCAGGAGTCATCATCTCTAGCATGTGAGCTCGTTACAGTGATCTAAACATCATTTACCATTATCTTTTTACTAGGTTCTATGGCTTTACTCTCGCCCAGACCTGGCGATATTTCCGGACTTATCCAAAAGACAAGTGGTCTATGAAGGCCTTGGTAAGCACCGCATATCATCCCCAATTTGCAAATCTCAAACCTCTTTTTCAGGTAGCCTTTCTGTGGTCTGTCACTTGAAACTCGTTGTTTTGCACTGACTCACGTTCCCCAGGGCGTTGGACACAGCACAGCTAGCCCTTGTCGCCGCATCAATATATCACTATACCATAGTTTGGCAAGGTGACATCACGATGTCATCGCATGTATCAAAGTATGTTATTTCGCACCTGTCGTTCTATTCATATTCATTTTTGATTAGAACATTTGAGGTGGGCTTCTCTCGTTTCATCATATCATAGTGTCGTAACCACTCATTACAGGCATCAATGGGCATTACTGTAGGTTGTTCGACATCCATTTCAACTAGAAGCATCCTCATGATCACTCTATCATAGTCAGTAATGGCTTTTCTGGTGCAATTGTACGTCTGTTATTGTTCTTCGTGGCAATAAATACCTATTCCGCTTTTCAGGACATATGCTCACCGTATATGGCGACGTAAGGTCTAAGTCAACAATCTCCTGAGTCTACACTCATAACTCTCTAGTTAGCTTTGGAAACATTCTAGTCACATTTTTCATAGTAAGTCTGGGAAATCTGCATTCGTGTCCCTGTTTACTCATAATGCCGGCGCCGCAGGTCCTTTTGGCATTGGCTGCGCTAGGTAAAAACAGTCTACTGTGGGTGTGACATGGCTGATTCGTAACTTACACACAGGGTCTGGTGCAGGTACGCTCACATTCCAATTTATGACATCTCTTACTCAAACCAGTCGCAGCAATGGTTGTCAAAACGTGAGTTTACTTGGTCCAACACCGGACTAATTGATGTTCACATTTCTCCCAGTGTCCGTGATCCCCTGTGGGATAGCACTCACGTTAGCAACGTAAGCTCGCCTTCACATCTCTGCCAACTTCCATACCTTACGCGACCCTCAGCTGCCCGCTTCTAGTTTTTACTTGTCTTCGATGGCATGTGACTTCCTCATTGCCGCTACGCAAGTGTACCTGTTTCACAAGTCCCGGACCGGGATAGGAAGGTTCGTCGCGTCCCTCATTTTTCAGTCTTATGGGCTCATTTCTGTCAAGACTCGGTGGTCTCATTACCAGATTGACTGTGCTTGTTGTCAATGTGGGCTTGATAACTACGTAATCGTGTTCTCCATACAGCGCTGTTCCACGACTGACTCGTCCTTCCAGCATAGATGTCACACTATTTTTCATACTGGTACGCGTCTCGACGGGAGAAGCGATCCCACTCACAAACTCTCCCTCTCAGTTTCTCGTCTGCCCCCACAATGGCGCCTTTCTTGTACCATACATCCTCATGAGCCACTGTGCGCCTTTCGCTTTCTCTTTCATCATAAACTTACCCACTTGCATTGCAGGTTATCTAAACAGTTTCCTCAGTGTGTAAGTCCATTTTCCCACCTCAATAACCAAAGCCTCACCCCCACAAGTCTTAACTCTCGTCATGAGCTACGGGAACTGGTCGACAACGACGACGTAGGCGATTTTGTTCTTCTCTGGTGCTGACCGTACCTGACACGCCGCCATCGCAGTACGCTTGTCCCAGCATTTACACCATTGCTTCAGAAGAACTGGCATGATGTAAACTCTAGCATGCTTCCCGCGCCACGCTGTGCGATGCTCACTGAGGCATGTTTTGAAACTAGCCGAACCTTCTTGTAGGACATAAACACTGCACTGTATATTATCGCACCAGAACACACCCATCATTTCACCGCGAGTTGAACTGCCAGTGAAATCAGTACATATTTGATGTTGGCTGGCATAAGCAGATGATGTTGAACTCAAACAAATACATATGTATACTGTATGATACTGTACAGCGACTCGAGAGGTCGCTCCATTTCATTGCGGAAAAGCCTGCCGCAGAAAATCAAAACAAGTTCGGGCGACTGGGTGCCAGTTGCTCTATCAGAGGTTCCAGAGGATCGTTGAGATCGTGCTAGGATGCGCTGATCCAATTGGGTACTGTCTCCTGGACACAAGCTTCTGAAGGAGATGAGCGACATCACGCCCGTTGGTAATCGATGTGAAGACGAGGGCGGTTGTATATATGTATGCACTTGCACTTTCAGCGAACGGTAAGACACCCTGACAGAAGTGATTTGTGAGTTTTGGTCGAACATTGGAAATTCAGTTTGAGACCCCACCCATAAGATGCATGTAAAACATCGTTAGTTACATTATATCGACGTACCACCACGCAGTCATCGTATATAGAATGAATATTTGAAATGGTCGGCGATTTCGTCATGACGTGTGCCATCCAAGGCATCGATTCCGAACTGAACACGTTCATACTATGCCTGATGTGCCAAGTTATAAATATCAGCACCGATGAGAAAGCCAAGACAACTCTTTGACGAGTAACATCGCCTCCGAGTTTTCATTTTAATCTGCGCTGAAGAAGGTGATGGCCTGATATACAGAATGAAGCAGAAAGTATGATAGAAAAGCTTAATATACCTTGATGATGAGAAGAGAATGGACGGTTTTCTGAATATTTGTTCGCGAGCGTGAATGCAACGTCAAATGCTGTCCTTGCGTCCAGGAGGTGTCCTTTTACACAGATGGCAATGCCCTTGGATATATGACCAGTCAAGGGACGACTGAAGGATTATATCACGATGAAAAGCCAGCCTTTCGTACTAAGGGACTCGTGATGGCATCAGTAGTTTCTCGATCGCATCCTGAAGAGCATCGCCCCAGTCGCGCCCCCCGTACACCTAACAAACGAGCGATTGGCGTAGGATTCATAGTCGCTGGTATCGGTGTAGATATCTTGCCCGAGTAGGTCTTCAGCGGTATTATAATAGACAAGTCACGGCGAGGTACCCAGTGCATTACCATGATAGCGAGAAGCATGCTCGAATTGGGTTATGAGCACCAAAGATGGAAACATGCCTTTAATTTCACGTCCATGGGTATTGCCAGCTCTGAAATCTTAAGTTATTATCAGCAACCTCCGCTGAGGATGTGCTTACCGTCTATGATGAAGGTGACACACTGTGGGGGGGTGAATGCTGAATTATATGGTTGGTTCATCAATCCGAGAGGCGGACTTGGTTATCATGAGATGCAGAAACGATGAGTGTACCAGCAGGATTAAGAAAGTATTGGTATTAGTATTGGAGGTACGCATCGGGGGATATCGATGAGAGGAGGCCCGGAGAATTCGAACATGAAGGTGAGTAAGATGTGACAATGTGAAGAGTGGTAATGAACGTATCAAATGACCGGTGGCTATTAATGCAGTCTTATACCAACTCAGTGACTTGAACCTCTATGTAACAATGCCTAGCATAAGTATCCACAATGCTTCAACTTAATCCACCGTCTACAATCCACTTTATTGAATGAATTAGTGGACAAGAGCCATGGTTTATAAACCCAGGGTAGGCCAGATGCATCGTCATCACCTTTCGTCTCTTGCTTATTATGATCAACCTCATGCAGCCGGTCAGCAACAACTCGAAGGAGTCTATGCTCAGTTGAGCACCACCCTGTACCACCTGAGCCTACCTCAGACATTCCTGCGGGATGTTCAGTTCACCACGACCGTCCCGCAGACGACGATCGTGCCCTCTCAGAGCTTCATTGCCGAGTATCCATCTGCCCAGCTTCATCCACATCGAACAGCTCAGCCCTGTGAGCCACTCTCCCTACCCCACATTCCTCTATACAAAAAGCTCGTCGATATCCACGGCATGCCAATGTAGATATTCTTCGTTGTGCGTCTGTGAGTGATCCTTCTTGATGTTATTGTTGCTCCAGATGAATTTTTATACTGAGAACGTTCTTGCAGGTACTTCGCTAGACATACATGTCATCCTCCGAGCTTCAGTACATCGTTTGAATTTGATGGCCAACAGTCTCCCTGTCCCAAACACCATGACGGACAATCTCGCTTTCATTTCCAAGCGCCTACAACTCTTGAGGGACAGAGCCCACGCATGGTTCAAGTTTGACATCCACTCTTCCAAAACAGTCACCTGTCCAGAATATTGGTTCGCAGTGCAATATCCGTCATTAGTGCGCGCGATTATGGTACTTGGCACCCTCAAGTCCTAGTATCAACTCTTCATTATACCCCAACTTCAGCCGCATCGAACAGGCCAGCCCTGCGAGCCACTGTCCCAACCGCAGCTTCATTCGTATCGAACAGGCCAGCCCTGCGAGCCACTGTCCCAACCGCAGCTTCATTCGCATCGAACAAGCCAGCCCTGCGAGCCACTCCCTACCCCAGCTTCATTCGCATCGAACAGGTCAGCCCTGCGAGCCACTCTCCCTACCCCACATTCCTCTACACCAAAAGTTCGTCGATCTCCACGGCATGCCAATGTATCATCCGACACCTTTCTTCGATATACCCGATACTCGGTTATACAATCAATTTAGCCACTTCTGCGAGCATAAGGACACTGTCACCCGCCAATACTACTCTAAAGTCCTTCGGAACCTGTGCTTCCTCGATGACCTGATCCGCCCTAGGATCTATCCATCAAGCTCTTGAAACAGCCTTCCACATCCACCTAACTGATTTGTGGGCATGAGCCATGCTATATAAAACGTAGGCATTTGCTCTCCATTATTGTTACCTTTCATCTCTTACTTATCTTCACCTTTTGCAGCGAATTTAGACCAACATGGTCCTCAATGAGCACGGACTTCCTGAAGCTTGCAAGTCCCTGGCAGCCTCGGAAGTTCCAGGAAAACGTTGACGCGGAATCAACGTCTTCATCGTCTCCATGGATCTTCCGAGGTTGCCAGGGCTTGGACTGAAGGAACCTGCAGCAGCGTAGTGGTATAAAGGGTGCCATTATACTTAACGTTATTTATGGCCCTACGGACCGTGTTGGACCGAACTTTCTTTTAGAGGACCGGAAGATGTACATGTACGAGCGCGCACCTCAGATGAAGTTCGATGGCCGTCCTTTAAAGTGGCCAGACTTTCCGGCTCCACTCCCAGGATTGGATATACAAATCTGCTTAGTGTCTTGAATTAATAATGCCGAGTTACTCGCCTCCGTGTTTTCATGCACGACTTCGTCTCGAGGAGCCAAGGCAGGCTTGCTCTGCTCCGATGTTCTCGTCTTATCTTGATCGAGCCCAGGCCTAGTAAGACTTGGTACGCCTCGAATATTTGTTATGTCACATTAGTTTTAACTTACTGGCCATGCATGTAATTTGTTTCGGCTCTTTCAAGTTGTCAGGTGTACGCAGCGCGTATACAATATATAGATTTTGCATACATTTAATATGGTTGGACCGCCCATGTACACGAGTCGCCTATGAGTCAGCGGTTCAACCGTTGCAACCAGTGTGTAGTGTGTACGGTAATTACATAGGTGAATATTAATTGAATCGCGATCCGTAGCAGTCGCGTCACATGCAGAGCAACGCAGTAGGTCCGCGTCATGATCGGAGCGGTAATACGAAAGGTTCAAAGAATGGAGGCTGTGGCGCACATACATGCCTTTTAATTTCAACCAACAGCACAAGTCAAATCGGTATCATAATGGCTAGCTATAGTAATCTACATACACTACACACGCATATCCGCCGGCAGTACTTGTTGTCCACCCTTAGACTGTCATACAAATGATACCCCAAAGATGTGGCAGCCACTTCCGACTATGTAATTTACTGAATTGCATACCCAGACGCCACAAGCGCCTGCACAAATGGTTGCACTACCTTTTCATCACCCGCAGCTAGCAGCCCTTTCACGCGTGGGTCCGCTTTCGCCAGTGCCTGCCCCAAAAAGTTTTGCGGATCGCGCACATATGCCACGGGGTCTACAGGCGCGCCGTCCGCCGCGGCGAGTCGGGAATACGCAGCCTGATACCCCGCAGTCTGCTCCTCGAAGTCAATCTCTGTTATGCCAGTGCTCTGTTCTTCGTCTTTAGACTTGGCGAGATACTGTGGCTCGCTAAAGAGCTTAATGACGGAGACAAATGCTGGGGGCCTGTGAAAGGGATGTGAGTTAGTGGAAAGAAGGGGAGAGGGGCGCGGCTCACCAGCTCTGCGCGCTCGGAGGCGTAAGCATGATCGTGCTCTGCGTGAGCATGCGGATAAGGCCGACAGCTGCAACTTTCCTGTCTTTGTGCGGCATCTTTGGCACCTGTGGGACGATAAAGTTGACAAGAATCTGCGACCAAAGCCTGCAAAATAAGACATATGAGCAATGTGGCAGATCTGAAGAGCAAGATGCGCCTTACTGTGGCTGAATCTCCTCGATAGCGGATATGACGTAGTCTGGCCCGAGCCCGTCCACATTGATAGCCATGGTGAAGAGAAGGAAGTGCGAAAAGAGATATACATATTTATCCGTTTTGCTCGTCTGCATCCTTGTGAGCAACGTCATGACGACTGCCTTGAAATACTGTTTCAGCTGCACCCTAACCAGCCAATTCTGTCAATTCCCGTTTCATCATAGCAAGAACACAAAAAACTCACGGAGGCACATGCTGCACGACACCCTGCAGAAGTTCAAAGCCCCAGCCATCGTTGATTTTGGAGGGTATCAGGCGTTGCTGGACGACGGCCAATACGGCTGCGATCTGCCCCGTCTTGATCATCTCAGTAGCGTCGCGAGCAAGGAATGCTTTGAGGAGCTTCACGAGACCGGGGATGCTGCCCTTTTGTTGCCAGCATGTGGGCGTCAGGAGGAAGGGGAGGAGGGAGCGATATTCGGATGGCACGCCAGTGCTGTGAGCTTCTAGCATCTGAGCGAGAATCTGGAAAACGTAAGGAATGTACTCTGAGAGATAGAGTTAGAGATGGGAAGATGGGTCGGATTTTGGCTCCTTACGGTCTATGTCCTGTTGAAGAATAAAGGTGAAAGGGCCAAAGAGCGCCTGCTCGAACGTAGGAAGAGTGGAAGGTGTACCGCTCACAACAAACCTACCAAGAGTGTCGGCCAGGATTCCTAGAATGAAACGAGGACGTACCTCAACAGCGCTGATATACTTTCAAAGATGTACTGGTCGAAATTTGGATTGCTCGGGTTCTTTGCAATGACACCGAGGATGTTGACCAGTTGCTGGAGGACTTGTTGATAGACAGGGGTGAGGGTTTGACGTGCAGTGACGATTATGCGCATCGCGCCTGCACACGGGAGTCAGCACCCGCCAGCACGGTACGTGATTGACTTACATTTCATCAGGTGGTCATTTTCGGCAACCTTTTCAGGAGCGCCGGCAGCTTCTATCTTGTTCAGGAGTGCATTGAGTAAGTCAGCAGCAAGATCGTGGATATCGGCTTGAGAGAATCTGTGGTCAGACCGTGAGCACAAGGTTTTCGTCACACAAATGTGAACGCACAACAATTGTGTTCCCTTTTTGATGAACAGTATGCGGTCAATTGTGATCGCAGCATATGTATATGTAACATAGTGGTCTGCGTTCAAATGCCGCACCAGCAGAGGGAGCACTGACAGAAGTTGATCTCTCGTCAGCTGGTAGAAGTGTGAGCAGTGCTGAAGCGTTAGTTCGTATCAAAATGAAGATACCTGGTTCCTGAAAGTCAAAAGGAATCGAATCGCATCAACATAGAGAATTTCATGAATACTGCCAGCCGATGCTTGGAGATCTTGATACACATGCTCAGAAAAGAACTTCACGACATCCACCAATGCATTCGTTGACGTGACGCCATGCTTTTGTTGCCATCAGATTAGTGCTCATCGGCAAAACTGACGCTCGCTCACCTGCGTTGTCGACGCCTCTGTTGCCACAGCAGTGAGTAAATATATGGCACTGTCCTTCGCCTTCCAGTTCTGCGCGGGGTTCGAATTGTACTGCTGCAATCCTGAAGTGATCCACGACCCCACAATTTCCGTGGCCTCGGTTTGGTAACCCGAGCTGACTAACGCTTGCAACACGTCTGCGGCTGCCTGTCGTCGAGTTGCCACTTCTGATGCACTACCTCCGAAGGCCAAGTCAAGCCGAATGAACTCAAGTGGCTCATCTTCAAATTGTTCCATTTCATGGTCGCGTAGTCCAATATTAGGGATGATGACACCTTGTACGAGAGAGGCAATGGTATCGCGCGAAGAGAAGAGCGATTTATAGTAACCCGACCGAATTGCGGTGGAGATAAAACGCAAAGATTGAGAGACAAGCTGGCAAGCCGGTGCCAATAAGGTCACTAGAAAACAAAACAAACACTTGAAAACGTACAGAGTCATCCGCAACACCGGGAAGCTTATTCGACCCGATGAGCTCCCATACGCTCTGTACAAATCCCTCGACAGCAGGCGAGCGTGATAGTTGGTCTGGGAAAAGCTTGATGTAAAGCTGTTACGTATGTTAGCATTTGTTCGCTCATTTCCGGCATGTTGCAAACCTCGCCAATCTCGAAAATCTTGGTCTTCAACTGCGCAGGCAGCGATGGCTGTGTTTCATCAGGCTAAATGACAATCAGTGACTGGCAATATACGGCAAAGACGTTGCTCACATCGGATCGAAGTTCTGCTGGGTCCCATGACATAAAACGCTGAAAGAGTCCAGTTTGTGGAGCAAAAAAGGAGTCGTGAGCATCTTCGATACCCGGGGGTAGATCTTGACACGTAAAATCGTAGAATATATCAACGAGAATGATCTGGGCTTGTGTTACGATAGCAACATTAGGTGGGGCAGGGGAGGAAAGCAGGATGGTTGCAGTTTGATTGGAAAGATCAAGAAAGGGTTGCATGAAACGCGATAACACGAAGTTGATCTCCGTGAATAGCTCGTCCGAGCGAACTTGGGCCCGCCATTGGTTAAAGATCGAGTGAGCGGTTTGTAGGACCCCGACATTGATGCTGTAGTCCGTTTGTGAGAGTGATGAGATGAGTTGCTGTTGTGGAAGCGTCAGACAGCGAACCCGTGGTTTAACTTGGATAACGTACGTCAATAAGATCAGTCCATTTTGCTGGAAAGTCGAGTTCGGCGATCAAAGCGACAGACTCAGCAATTTGAGCACGAATTGCTTTATCTGTAGGATCCGACAACGCAATCATGGCTGGGACGAGCTGGGATCGGAGGGCTACTTTGTCTGCTTCCGGGAGGGGTTCATCGTCCTGTTTGAACCACAAATGAAATGAATGAGCATGATCAAAAAAGATTATTGCGCACCTCCTCCCATCTTAGTTTAGCAACATTTTTGAGATATATTCCACCTGCTAGGCGCGTTGAGCGATCGTAGGATCCGTTGAGGATCAGCGTAAGGAGGTGTGCCAGAAATCCCTTCTGTGATGCAAGTGCATGTAGTTGCTGTTCTGCTTGTTTCCTGGAAGCAGGCTGGAGGGAAGCTTGAAGAAGAGAAGCGATATTGGACATCTCTGCTTTGCCCTGGACAATCTCGCCAGTTAGCTTCTCGCGAAGTTCGGTACAGGATGATCTTTCACTGGACGCGTGCTCTTTGTTTGGCTTTCCTTCGTCTAAATCCCTTTTAGGCAAACCCCTGAGTATATAGCTCGATCTCATGCATTCTAACAACCCTACCGTACTTGCAATCGTTGGGGACAATCAGATACTCCAGCCGCTGTTGAGATAAGTAGTCCAATCCAATGCCTGTTTGCCTCCAGCTTACATCCCACACCTGTGGAATGAATTCACTGTCCAATGCCCATCCACCCATCAATCTGTTCCCAAGTCTTCTCCCGCATAGTGGACCACATACGCCGCCTTTTATGGTGGCAACCCTTGCACCACCCCTCGTCTTTCCACGAAATGAGCATCAACGCAGACAACCCGCAAAGCGGGTCATGCCGATATCGGTCGTAAATCCCTGAGTCATGCACGAGCCGAACCCATGCTTCGCACCTCGCCGCCATCGAGAGACAGCGTTTTGGCCCCAAGGCGGGGGAAGAAAGCTCTGGCTTCTTGTCAAGGATATCACTGGAATGGTCGTTGACACGGTTTGAACAGGCCAAGGATGGATCCTCTCGGGCTGCTGCTTGCATCCATATACCACTGAGCTGTTCTCGCATCCGCATAAGGCGCCGCTCGTCCGCGCGACTTATTTGCTCAGAGTTACTGAATTCGTCCACATCATCCAGGCCAAACCCAGATGTTCGTGCCATTTCATAGAATGCAGGTTTCAAAATACCATTAATCCCACACGCCCGCGAAAGGGCGGCAACCTGAGCAGCATTGGAGCGCAGTTCTGAGCCGGCATGGAGGCTTTCGAGATCAGATGGCCAGTCATCTGTGAGCAATTCTACGGCCCAAACCCGATCTGTTTCGAACCCCAGAATTGTGGTCGCACGGATGAGGGACACAAGGGTGGAAAATCGGATGTCACCGCGATACGCCCTACGCACTCATAACTGAGCTTACATCAAGTACAGGATAGCAGAGCTTACTTACACAGGGTTATCATAGAATAGAAGCAGTGCCTCTAGATCTTTTTCCTCAAGCTTGGTCAGCTGGTAAAGTTGCTCGTCTGCGTCTATCCCAGTGACGGTATCATACCCAATGTCCTTGAAGATAGTCGCAAAGAGCTCTGAGTGTCGCACGAGCCATGATCGATGCACCCGGAAGAGTATTCCGGAGGCTTCAAGAGTGATATTCCCATCCTCTAGCCAAAACAATTCATGCCTGGGCATACGGTATAAATGCGGGGTCTTGCGCATTATAATTCCAGTTGACCATAGTATGGTCGAGGCGCTGGGTTGGTGCTCTTGAGAGGATTGGCGTTTGCGCTTTGCTCTCTGCTCCGGGACCACGTCAAATGTTTCAAGGGATGCAGCGCGAAATTTCCTCTTGGTAGATACACTATCATGCGACATAGCGTAGCTTAGAGTTCACTGTGCCAATTCGTTCTACTCGTCAAAATTACGTACAAGTTGCTATATCACGTGATAATCTGATCCAAAAAAAGCTTCGGCCTATCATTCTCCCAGTCAGACCTTTGAAAGAAGGAAGACAGGACTCGTTCCTTCTCAAGCTTGAATTGGATCAGCATGACAACACTTCAAATTTGTGGTGTTTGCCAGCCTCTTCGAGCTGAAGCCATCCACATTAATCGCCTGAGACCTCAATAGAAGAGGTTGTCCATAGCCTGTGTCAGGCATATGTTTCAAACTTATCACTATTCCCTTAATCGAGATTAGTGTATCAAGGGTGTAATCCGAACTTACGCACTGAGTGTATCAGACAGGACTGCTCGTCCTTGAGTGAAGAATGAAGTTGCGTTTCAAATTCATTTCTCCCGGTGCTAACGCTGCGCTAGCATATCTTTGGAACAACACAGGTGAAGTTTACTGACTCTGCCGAAGTCGACGCCGTGCCACGTCACTACGAGACGGGCAACCCTCGGGCAATACGCAGTTCTCCCCGAAGGTTCATCGGCTGCTATTGAATATAGTGCATTGCCATTTCCTGATTAGCACTGTTGACATGTCAACAAGGTGAGTAATTGAACCGAAAGAGAGGTGTTCTTCTGATCGCGAGGAGCAGTTCAAGCTCAACATCAAGTTATAATTGATTCCTGCTGTGGGGCGCTCGGGAATGGTGTCGGGCATGATCACATGAGTGGCCGAAATTACGGCACGTTCTCCATTTGCAACCCTATTGAATCTGGATATCTGGATCCTTGCAAGGGTAGTCTACTTTGTAAGTCTTTCTTGTAATCAGTATCCCCAACTGAAATAAAATATCATAATATGTTGTCGGTCTCCTGCGGAATACGTACTTATAGTATCGTCCCTTTGGACCGGGCATTGATTGTTCATCCGAGGAACCAATCAAATCAATCTTCTGCGAGTAGAAGCTCACACCAGCTTCCTGCTATATAGAGGGGCGCAGGGTTGCGCATCGAACAACCCCACGGTTCTTCATCCACCCACCATGGATTTCCCTGGTCAAGCGCAAGAGACGGATGCTCCCGATCAGTCCGCCGCCGCTGCGTCGAAGGATGGACCCCAACCTCACCTACCCTTTACCTTCTTCGATCCAGCCAGTATGCAGGAGTTGGAACGGACGATGACAGCACGATCTACTCGGTCCCACCACCGTCCCGTAGACAACTTTCGCCCTCCTCCCCCTGTGCGGAAATCTAAAGTGGCTGATAATCGCAAATCCACGATATCTATAGCCATGGAAAGTGGCAGTAGTGATCAGGAAGGCTTTGATTTTGAGCAGACTTTGAAGGACCTCGTCCGACGGTATGTGTTTTGCTACTATCTTACCACTGGCTGTAATGAGTTGCAGACGGGGTGAAGAGTCCATCAGGGCCCGTGAGTTGGGCGTGATGTTTGATGATTTACGCGTAGTTGGCATTGGAGCACGCGCATCACTGCAGCCCACAGTGGGCTCGATATTAAATCCCTCGGTTGCGCTTAAAAACATTACAACAATGCGCAATCCCCCAATTCGTAACATTCTGTCGGGCTTTGGAGGTGTAGTAATGCCAGGAGAAATGTTGCGTAAGTCTAGGTTGTGTTTTACTCGGCCACCTGTGTAGTGTACTGACTTCCACCAGTTGTTCTGGGCCGTCCTGGTTCTGGTTGTAGCACATTCTTGAAGGTACTCTCCAATCAGACGAAGGAGTACCACGCTGTCGAAGGTGATGTGTGGTATGACTCCTTTACCCCTGAGGAAATAACCAAGCAATATCGCGGCGATGTCATCTACTGTCCTGAAGATGATGTCCATTTTCCGACACTCACAGTTGAGCAGACACTATCCTTCGCAATCAAAACCCGCACGCCACATGCGCGGTTTATCGATCAGTCCCGTGACCAGTTCAATCGCGACGTGGTTGACATCCTAATCAGAATCTTCGGACTGCACCACGCACGTAATACTGTTGTCGGGAACGCTGCTATACGAGGCGTATCAGGTGGAGAGAAGAAACGTGTTTCTATTGCAGAGGCTTTGTCATGCAGAAGCTTGATCAGCTCCTGGGACAAGTTTGTTATCCTTTGATTCATTGTCTGCGATGAGCGCTGATGACTCGTAGCTCGACCCGTGGTCTGGATGCGTCGACAGCGTTAGAGTTCATCCAGGCACTTCGCATTGGCACCGATATTGGTCGGATTACGACAGCCGTCTCTCTTTACCAAGCCGGTGAACAGTTGTATAACTTGTTTGACAAGGTGTGCGTAGTCTCCGAGGGCCGAATGGTCTATTTTGGGCCTGCAAAAGAGGCGCGCCAGTATTTTATGGATATGGGATATGAACCCTACCACCGACAAACGACGTCTGATTTTCTTGTTTCTGGTACGTATTGGTGTAATGGTCCTTGTCATATTCTAAGATTTTCTAGTCACGGATCCAAATGCGAGAAACTTCCGTGCTGACGTTGAAGCGTCAATACCCAGAACGGCTGAGGAAATGGCAGCTTACTTCCTCGCATCTCCGCTGGGGCAAGCTAACCGTCAATCGATTGATAATTATCGCAACCTCTACGTGGGCAAACCCGAACGCAAGGAGGCATACAGTCTTAGTGCGGGGATGGAGCATGCGCGTCATGCGCCTAAGAGTAACTCCTTCACGATATCAATCCCGATGCAAGTCAGGGCAGTAATGGTCCGCCGGGTTCAGATAATAAAGGGCGATATCACGTCTCAAGTGGTGCAACTTGTGTGCGTACCAATTATATGCTCATGTCGACATAACGTATTGATGGCCCCTAAGTGCGCAAATATTCCAAGCCATCGTGATGGGCACCGTCTTCTACCACCTCCCTGACGCAACTTCTGGTTACTTCTCTCGCGGGGGCATCTTATTCTTGTTTGTTCTTTGGCATTCTTCTGTCCGCGAAGTTTCTAATCAGTCCTATAGTGCATTGTTTTTCGGCGCCTTGTCTGCTATGGCAGAAATACCCGCTCTCTATGCCCAGCGTCCCATAGTTCTCCGTCACCACAAAGCAGCGATGTATTATCCATTCATCGAAAGTCTGGCTCACACGGTTGTCGATATACCAATTACGTTCGTTATCCAGGGCGTTTTCTCTGTACTTCTCTACTTCTTGGTCGACCTTCAGAGGACAGTATCGCAGTTCTTGTCAGTGGTTTCCTGTCTACAAGTTTCCGCTACAGATATCTGATATACCTTTCTGACAGTATATTCTTCTTGGTGGTATTCACGATGACGACCGCGATGAAAGGATTTTTCAGGCTGGTCGCTGCTGCTTTCAAAGAAGAGTCTAGTGCTACATCAGTAGCTGGCATTGGTGTTTTGGTCTTCTCGCTGTACACCGGTTATACTATTCCTCGGCTCAGCATCCCGGGCGCCCTGCGCTGGATCACTTACTTGAATGTAGGGTGACGTATTATTCTTCAAGCGCTGCGCTGAAACATCTATCCCAGCCTCTCGGGTTCGGGTTTGAATCATTGATGATGAACGAATTCCACACTTTGAACGGGACATGCACTACCTTGGTCCCTCAGGGTCCTGGATATGAAAATATATCGCTGGCTAATCAGGTCTGCACCACAGTTGGAGCTCAGCCTGGAATGTCGACTGTCAACGGTAACGTCTTCGCGTACCTATCTTATGATTACCTGTACAGTGACCTTTGGCGCGTACGTCCCAATCTAATTTTCCGATCTGAGTCATGACAGCTCAATTTCTTTTCTATCAGAATTACGGCATTATATGTGCATTCGGTATCACCTTCCTTATGTTGTTGCTCTTCGCTACCGAATTCAACACCGGCTCCGCATTTGATTCTGCTGTCACTCTCTTCAACCAGTCTAAGGGCGCAAAGTCTGCTGGACCCGTCACTGTACAAAAAGATGTGGAAAAGGGGGGACCATCGGCACCTAACGAAAACGCGCACAAGAAAAGCAAAGTATTTGATGAAAAGAAGAAACATGGGCCGCCAGATAACTTCACCTGGCACCATGTGCAGTACGTCGTTCCCATTTCAGGGGGATCAGAGAGGAGGTTGTTAGACAATATCTCTGGTTATGTCGCACCTGGAAAGCTCACTGCCCTCATGGGTGAATCTGGCGCGGGAAAGGTTCTCGTCATTTTACTGCTCAACCTCGCTGTAGACTGACAAGACACGATAGACTACTCTGCTCAATGTCCTTGCCCAGCGCGTCGATGTTGGTGTCGTTTCAGGTGACCGTTTCATTAACGGACAACCACTCCCTTCAGATTTCCAGGCACAAACGTAGGTAAAAGCTACATTGTTGATCGGCAACACTAAAAACAAGCTCAGGGGATATTGTCAGCAGATGGATACCCATCTACCCCAAGCCACTGTTCGGGAGACCATTCTTGCTTCAGCTCATCTTAGACAATCGGAATTTGTCCCTATGGAGGAGATTCAAGCCCAGTATGTCCTCCTGTTTCACATTGTACCATTGACAGTTCCGACTGATGTTATTCAGCGTGGACAAGTGCCTCCAAATGTGTGGCCTCGAAGCATATGCAAACGCAGTTGTGGGCTCGTTGGGCGTTGAACATAAAAAGCGCACGACAATAGCCGTTGAATTGGCCGCGAAGGTATGTCCGTCTTTGAAGATGTAGCATCCTCTTTGAACCTAGCGTGTCAACAGCCCAAACTTCTTCTTTTCCTTGATGAACCTACGTCTGGTCTCGATTCCCAATCGGCTTGGGCCATCATAACATTCCTCCGCGAGCTTGCCGATAGTGGACAAGCCATCTTGTGCACGTGAGTCTTGTATACATCTGATAGTGCTCTCATTCTGAGCTTTATTAGCATTCACCAACCTTCCGGGGAGCTTTTCCAACTGTTTGACAAACTTCTCCTCCTTCGCAAGGGCGGCCAAACTGTCTACTTTGGTGACATTGGGGACAAGTCTTCTACGATGTTGAAATATTTCGAACGTAATGGAGCCCCACCCTGTGATGAGGATGCCAACCCGTAAGTCTTTTGTTGGTTCAGTCATTCGTGGAGTTAAGCTATGGCAGTGCGGAATACATGCTTGATGTCATTGGTGCTGGAGCGACCGCGAGCACATCTGTTGATTGGCATAATGTCTGGCGAATTTCGCCAGAAGCCGCTGTGCTAGAAGATGAGCTTGGACGCATTCATGCTGAGGGTCGCTCTCGTCCCGTTGTCCAGACACAGCTACGCACACAGTTCGCTACTTCGTGGAGGCACCAGACCATTGCTCTTACACAGCGCAACTTCCAAGCATATTGGCGGAACCCAACCTACTTGGTGGCAAAGCTCGTTCTCAACATCGCTGGTGGTCTATTGATTGGCTTCACGTTCTATAACACAAAAGACTCCCTCCAGGGTACACAAAACAAACTCTTTGTATGATTTGCGACATTTGATGAAGTGGCTTTGTTCGCTAATTGGTATCATAGGCAATTTTCTTGGCCACAATTTTGTGTGTCCCTCTTTCTCAGCAGATGCAGACGGTCTACATCGACATTCGGTCAATTTATGAAGTCCGGGAGCGCCAGAGCAGGATGTACAAGTGGACTGCTCTCGTCACCTCTCAAATACTCGTCGAGATACCTTGGAACATTTTCTGCTCATCGGTCTTCTTTGTTTGCTGGTACTGGACAGTCGGATTCTACACCGACCGTGCTGGATACACCTACCTGATGTATGGAGTCATATTCCCGCTCTATTACACGACGATCGCACTCGCAATAGCTTCCATGGCCCCAACTGCATTTATTGCTTCATTGTTGTTCAGCACGCTCTTTTCATTTGTCGTCATATTGTAAGTCAGATTTCTAAACTGATAACATAGCTGCTTACTGATTTGTGGTCTAGTAACGGTGTTCTGCAGCCATTCAGCCAGTTGGGTTGGTGGCGGTGGATGTATAGGGTTTCGCCTTTCACCTATCTGATTGAAGGCCTGTTCGGTCAAGGTTTGTGCTTATGTTTGGCTTCCGTATCAATGAACTCAACTTGTTCTTAGCGGTTAGCGGACAGACGATTGTTTGCGCGTCGACGGAGCTTGTTTCAATTGTTCCTCCTACGGGACTCACGTGTGCTGATTATATGGATCCTTTCATGTCTTATGCGGGCGGATATCTAACAGACCCCAATGCGACATCGAACTGCCTCTACTGTCCGTTCCAGACGACGGACCAGTACATGTATGCTGGATTCAATATCCAGTATTCTCACCGCTGGCGTGACGTTGGTATCATGCTTGGTGTCACCTTGTTTAATGTGAGTTACGTCCCTTGCTGTTCACTCTGGGTATTCACGAAGGAATCTATTTTTCCAAGGTCTTTGCGATTTTCGCTCTCACCTACATCTTCCGCATTCGGAAGGGTAATATTTTGCCTTCGTTCAAGCGCAAGCTGTAACACAAAGGTTGTGTAGAACGAAATATTGGGACACATGAATGATACCGGGATCTTACTGTATGTATGTGCAGAGTCTGTGCAGTGTGTGCTACCTTGTTGTAATTGACAAGTGGATTGCGACGGGCCACGTGGGCCCCTCGCTTTCTGAAGTGTAATCATATCCGTAGACACTCGCTACATCAGAAATTAGCCACCAATTGCATCCTCTTCATAGATTGCGTCGTCAAACTTCAATGCAGAAGAATGACCTCCTCTCCCGCGAATTGGACCCAAGGGTATATTGTTTTCCTGTGCCGTAGACTTCTTGGCCTCGATCCAGAAGGACTTGGAGTACTGAACAATCTTATAGCTGAGGACGAACGCAGGCCAAGCAGCCCTCCGCCACATACTAGCTCCAGGCCTGTGGATTGTACTGTATGGTTGGAAAGCGATGACGATCCATGTCGTGACAAAAGTCAGCAACGAAGACACCCAAACATAGCGCGCGATCGTCTCTAGGGAGCCGGGGTTAATTTCGCGCACGTTCATCCCAAAGACCGACTGTTCAATCAGTGAGCGCTTTAGTTCGTGTTATACATCCAAACACATACAGCAGTAAAGCTGGCGGGCAAGAAGATCATGGTGAGGTATGATATCTGCAGAAGGCATGAGCTCTGTCGGTGTATATGTAGCTGCCGTCACACCTGTTTCATCGCTGCAGAGTCTCGAAGGGCCGCCGTCGTTAACTTGAATGTTTGACGACTATCCTCAATGTTTACAGTCGCGAATGCCAAATCTGTGGCATTCTTTAATCGACTGATTAACATCGAACATCTCCTGTGCAACCTGTCGATTTCGGAAAGGAGGTTCTTGCATTCTCGTCGCATCAGCTCTTCTGTAGTAGTCTTATTTTCTGAATCTTCCATTGCAGGGTTTGGAGTCTCCATAACAAACGTGACCGAAATCTCGAAATCATGAAGGAGGGTTTGGTACTGGAGGAGGTGCGCCTGAAGGCTATGGAGGTCATAGTTGAGGTCGGTCATAGCGGTGAAGTCGGAGGCATTCAAGATCACCTCCTGTGCATGATGAGCCTTCCCCACCACTCGAACAGATCGCATACACACCAAATCCTTGATGCGGTTATACAACACTTCAAATGCCTCATCCCACGCATACAGTGCGTACCACAAGATTGCCAGAAAGAAAAAGGTTGGATCTTCAGACGCCACGAATATTTTATTCCAGTAAACACTTCCACCTGCACGCTCCATAACCTGATGTAAGCGCTCGGCGGTAGTGCGATCACGCAGCGCAGGATGATACGTTATGATTGTAGAGGAATTCTTCCCGCGGATCATATGGATTGCCAGAAGGTCGATGAGAAGGACATATTCGCCTGTGAAAGGACTTAGACAAAACCGTGATAAAAGCAAGTACGGATTACCGTGTAGGTGAAGGGGTAACATGACATCTATAGTATTCTTCCTTTCATTCCGTTCTGTATGTTTTGTGATAAGAAGCGGTCAACTGTTGAAAAAATGACGAACTCATGCCCGTTAAGCTAGAATGTGTCTTCGTTTTCTTCTCCGTGGTCCGAATGAAAGGAAGGATAACTGTGATATCTACCCGGAACAACAGATTAACAACCTCGAGACCAACAGGCAGTCATCAGACGTACGATCCCCCACTCCATGTTGAACCTCTTCCCGGTATCGCGAAGGAATCCAGTTTATGGAGGATGCAAAGAAGAATGGCTCGATGTTATATCTATGAAAGGAAATTTCAGTGCTGAATTGGCATTTACGCCGGAGCACGAACTTCGTCCCCAACATCTTCAAAACGGATTCCGACATGTTATCCACGAATAACGCTCGAACGCGGACGTTTTCCCGAACCTAATTGTAGTCGTGATCACTCATTAGTTTGGCGAGATGAGGTTAAAACAATGCTTTCCTCCTGTAATTTCGACCAGAATTCGTTTTCCTTATCTTCCAGCACCTGCAGCCCTCGCTCGCGTGTTTTGAATTGACCGTCGCCCGTTACGTCAATGGTATATATGATGCACGGTTTCACGGTGCGCGCACATCGTGTCAACATCTGGCTTCGTGTCACTGGAATCGGACTCCAGTTGCCGAAAAGTTCTTGCGGGTATCCGCGCCATTCGTGCTCGTCCTTTTGAAATGGTGGCTCAGAGGATGAAAGGTCGGTGTTGAAATCTACCCAAGGCCATGGTCCCGAGGGTGCTGCATGACGATATCTGAACCAAATCAAGAGAACACATCTTCCTGAATATTTGAAAGGCAGGAAAGATGAGAACTCTTACACTGGTACTGGAATCGAACATGTTTGCGTTTCTAATGCCGAACTTGAGGTGTTGTTGGACGACATGCCAGGAAACAGGAAGTAAAGGTCCTCTTGGTTTGTACCTACTGGATTGGAGGAGCATGTATCATATATACCCGTGGGCTAAATGAAATATCTGGCCTTGGATCTCCGTCACACTTAGCCGCTCAGTGCTCATTGACCAGCCCATCGACAACTCGAATTAGGATGGCAAGAACGCTCCGTTTTAGGAGACAGCCGAGACCCATCTCCGTTATTGGCAGCAATCGATTCAGTGCTGCGGAAAGCCTCGAGTGTGAACGAAAGAAACAGGCGCTCGCAGTAATGAGTTTCGCTCTATCCGGGCCTTACCTATCGAATTAGGGAGCCTGCAATTATGCGAAGTCACACTTCTGACATGCTCCTGCCTAGCTCCGAAAGACGCTGGATGATGCTGAGAAAAAGTGTGTTGGCTCCAGTGCCGCCAGTCTGTGCTGGAAGTGATATAGTGGCGGCTGGCATATAGTCCATAGTCTGCTCTCGCCGTACACATGGGGAGCAACATCATGATGGTGCAGTAACATCAAAATTTGCTTTCGTCACCTGTAGCTTGTGTCTGCGGTGCATGAAGAAGGCTTTTACTGTCCCTACCGACGTGCATTGGCAGCTCTTCCCTCGATAAAGTACACTTTCGTATGACCCCTCATGAGCCCTGCCAGATCGAGGGAGAGCATGGCTGCCGCGTGGAAAGGGTCCAGTGATACACGTGGTTAATTCACGTTCGGGACTTTGCAAGCACCATGAAAAGAAGTCTTTGCACCGAAGAAGATTGTATGGTCCGACCCTCGTGAACCATCACAAGTAATAGACATTGCGAGGGATCGGTTTTTGTTCGCTGCCATAAGCATTGCCATCAGAATCAGACAGATAATCACCGACATCATCAAGGTCATCATCGTTGGCGAGTTGGTTGAGGAGTTGGTCTTGCCCTGCGAGATGTGCTCGAAGTTCAGTCTGTGTTGGTTGTACAACTTGTACTATGCTTGAATGAGGCTGCGTCGGCATGATCTCGGCAGCTGTTGCGGACCTTTAAAAAATGTCGAGAGTGCACTCTGCGGAGTCTGCGCTCAGTGCGCTGAGCGCTGAGCTCGCGAACTTCGCCCAAAAACAAGAATTGAGGGCTGAGCAGCTCTACTAAGTGTATTCTACCCCTTGGTCAGCACTTCTTCCTTTCGCCCATCCTCCGTCTAGGCTTATCAGTAGCAAGCTCCACCGACATCTATCATGCCATTATCCCAACGAGCTCAACAGCCTACATCTACTATGGCCCGGGGCCCTTCGCCCTCTTGCAGTGTGCATCGTCCCTGTTCCATATCATAGCTTTTTCGTGTCGTCTATTGATGCATGTTGGTCTATTGCCTTGTGTAAATTGTTATACACAATATATATGTATCTGCTTGACTATAATTTTAGATCTATTCCTCATGCTAGTGTCGTTGACGTTGTACTATCGATGGCCTAGTAATGCAAATTGATTTGCACAAGTGTTTCACGACTCAACCACAACACATAGAGCCTTGAAAATGAGTGCGAATTGTAGCTAGAAGCTTATATTAACCCCAGTTATTTCGCGGTTAATTCAAATCAAGACGCACCAGTTATAACCTATTCAGTTATAACCCGGGTTAATAACAACACTGTATAGATCTACTCACAAAAATCTTGAATTTTTTTGGCAATGTTACACTACCAAGATATGTGCAAATGCGACGGCATGTTCCTCTCCCCAATTCCAGTCAATGCTCGAGTTAACAATATCATATTTCAAAAAAGTCTAAGCATATGATATGCAATGATAAATGAAGAATATGAATATATAGGTATGGGCAGCGTGAAGGGAACGAGATGAAGAGCGCAGGACCAGGGTGCCAACCAGGGAAAGAATGAGATATTGCAGACGGCCATGCGAGGCGCCGAGGATGGCAAGAAGGTGCAGGAGGTTGAAGTGAGCAGCGGAAGACTGTAATAGGTCGTGGCGGCAGTCCCAAGCGTGTGGGCATTGGGCAACACCAGATTCATGGAAGGGCGAGGAAGGGGCATGCCAGGGTAGTGACGTTGCCCTTGGGGCGTGGGGCTGTGGACGTATGGGAGGTTGACCCAGGGCGGGTGACAGCGAGAGGTCGTATCGATAGTAGCACCAGGGCTGCAGGAGGTTGAGGGAGCAGGCAGCTGACGGTCGGGTGCGTTGCAGGAGGTTGCCATTGGCTGTGCGTGCATGAGCGGCAGCAGGAAGTCACTCTATGGCAGCACTGGCCAGGGCTGTGGGAGGTTGTGGAGAGGTTGCGTTTGGGTGTTTCTTGACTCTTGAGTCGGGTGCAGCTGTGCGTATGTCACTGCACCAAGCGCATTGGAGGAAGGGTGGGTGAGTGTAATTATGTGAAAGGGGAGGCGGTCGTCGACGAGGAAAAAAGAAAGACGGATGGCAAGCCGAGAAAGAATGTTGAAATTACAGTTGGAATATTGACGCGATGCAAACGCGGTCGCGTCATTAATGTATGTATCCGCTCTACAATTCCAACGGTCATGACAGCAGTATAGGTCGCAGAAAGACCTTGTGCCTTGCTTCTTAGTTGCCAAAGACGCATACATGCAATCACGATAAGTTGAGTACAAGTTGTGTTGTTGGCAAATCTGACCGCAGTGGTTGTGCCTGGTCCTCGGCAGAACTCACGCGAAAGGGGGGCAGCAAAACTTGGCAGAACTCCATGGTATCCGAAACTCTTGGAGAGGTAATTTAGACCTCTGATAACACATGGTTGGAATTTAAGAGAACATAAAAAATGACGATGGTGTATGCTGGAGGGCGTCCCCCTCGCATCATTGATCGACGACAATTTTGAGCGCCTGGAACGAGTTGACAACAGCTCGCATCATTACTACTGGAAATGCAAGCATTGCGGACGAGTTGAAAAGGGCAGAAGAAGCTCAGAGCATCAACAAAGTTGAAGTGCTCGAGGGAAATGATTTTGATCATCGAGTTGGATCGAGTTGAACAAGGAAGAATGGATATGTGCGGCTCGAAGGAGCATATGAACATTCTCAGGACTCAACACACAACCCATTCAACTTGTTAAAGCAAATCCGTTGTCCGTACCCACAAAGTACACTGGCTACTCCACATGTACACGAGGCAGACTCGTATTTTACATAAGTAGATATGGACTTTAGCGAGCGGTGTCACATGTGTTTGTCACATTTGGTCACAAATGCATGACACCGCGGTCCTTCTGATTGTATAACTCCAAGTACTAGTGTGAGCAAAGTACTTAGGCTTCATGCGGTCATAACAGCGCGCCCGAGTCTTCTGTTTCCATGTCCTCTCAGTGCCTGTCTAGTAATCTAGGGATGGTGATATATCTTCGCCGGATATCAATCACCGTGATGGCCCTTTCTCGACTAGATATCTTACTAGGCTGTGCAAACTGATGCCTGTCACCACCGCGACCAAGTTCCAACACGATGCAAATCAAAGACTCCACGCTCACTTTATGATACGAAAGCCCGATAACAGAGGCAGAGAGCGCACGACGCGACGGATTGCTCGAGGACTAAGAGCAGGCATAGTAGACATTGATCTATCTATGTGCTCGTCCATGGGTAGAACGCGAGTTATCTGTTTGGTTTGTGTGAATCTCCCCTATTTTTCACAGTTGACTTCTAGTCTGGGGTTGGCATGCCGACATAATGTGCCTTCCATCTTTTACGGTATTCAAGTTTCCGCCCGTGCAAATGTTTCTTGACCAACATTTATTCGATGATCCAGACACTTTGAAATTGCGGTATGATTTGTCATCGTCATACGCGCACCAGTGACCAAGTTCGCCTCTTACCTACACTCATTCTCTAACAGTATGACTATAGTCTCAAATGATCCCATTTGGTGGCCGTCCATCAATTCAGACCGTGTTTCCAGCTATTTTGGAGGTTCGTGGAGAACAGTCGGATGTTGAAGCTGATGTCTCAATCTAACCTTTTCGCAGTTGCCGCCTTTATTGGAGTGACGTATGAATGGGGTGAGCATGATCATATAAAAGAACTGCTGATAGCCTATAAGTATCTCCAGCACTTACATTCGGACAAGAGGTATGTTGATGCTATGACCGGAACAGCCATGTCGCTAAGCATATTGGGTTTTATAGGGTAGAATTGGTCTGGGTGAGCAGAGTTCTCATGTCATAAGAACAAACATGAAAATACACTTAATTCCAGAGGCAACGCTGGTCCCTAATGACAGTTCTGTACCTCGGTGTATGTAGCTTACCTATCACGGCTGTTATGTTGTGCTGACTTGAAAATATCCTAGGTACGCTACCTTGGAATCATATTCGCTGCGTATGTTCGGAAGGCTAAACAATGTGTTGTACTAATCGTCTGTCTCTCATAATCAGCATGTACATGCTGTGTATGTCTCCTTAGTACATTCACTATCTTTGCTTCTGACCAATGAAATACAGACAGTGTTCCTACCATCTCGCTGACAGATACCGTGAGTCTTCTGCATAGATACCTGCTACTCCCCTCCAATTAACCGCGATGCCCGGTAGGAGTGGGTGTGGTCCTTTATAAATTTCTTGGCTCACTAATGACTGTCGCATTATACTGCCGCAGATGTGAGTCTGTTTGGAGTGTGCTACCCGAGGCTGATTACTAACAGGATTCATCAGGCTGGATTATGTACGTCGTATGGAATTGGACGCGTGTTTTGGTATTTGCAATGTTGTGGGGTGAGCTTGGCACTCGCGAGACCTCAGCGATATTGACTTGACTGAAACATGCTGCAAGTCATTATGATCACTCGGTTGCATGTCATGTATCAACGATCCAGAAAGATCCTGATATTTCTCATTGTCACCTGTCTGGCTGACAACATTTTCGACGGAATGGTCTCCGTAATGACAACAATACATACTTCAGGGGGTACGCTTAATTGTGGATGACAAAAATGTGCATCTCATTGATGAATACCAGAGGAACTTATTCTCTCCGACACCCATCAGTGCTCGATTGGCTCGATTGGCTATGCGGAAGATGTCCTACTTCTGGATTCCATTACTTGGATAGTCTCCATTGTGTGGGAGGTCCTTGCACTATGTCTTGCAGTCCGGATTGCTGTGAAATACTTCCGTGAACTGCCACGACCTTCTGCAGGAGGAATTATTGAGGACTGTTTCACGGTGTTGATAAAAACTCACGTACTTTACTTTGTGAGGTGAGCCCATGCTGTGAATATAGGTTCCCGTTGCCGCTAAAGGATCGGACATGCTAGCTTTGTTGCTGTTTCTTGCTTTGACATCATTTTTAATTTCTCTCCAATACTCTCAACGGTATGTCAATATTTCACTGACCCCTGCAAATGACCATGGTTCATCATTTCTATAGGACCGAAATTCCCTGGAAACTCAGATTTATTCTGGGTTTGTTCAGATTTTGACGATCGTCCAGTTGTTTGTACTGGGACCCCCGCCTGATCCTTGGCATTCGAGAATACCACGCTAATCTCGTGGCTGATTCCGACACAGCAACTGGTATGACCTCGATCGCTTTCCAAGAGCGTGTGTGTATATCGACTGGTAGTAGTGTGTAATGCTCGGTGAAGTTGTCTAGTGCTCTGCAAGGAGCAGGGGAATTTATTTCTATTTATTCCCACTTTCGTGAATCGTCATGATATTAATTAAGTTGTTTGGTGTTCCGGAGTAGATTTCAGGGAGATCTGGTAAGAAGCGGTAAGTTCCCAGAGATCCTACCAAAGAGGCTGGCTGTGTAGCGGTACGGTCGCGGTGTCAGCCGAAACACTAGGTGCCTGGTGGGCGCCAGTGCCGCGCTGCAGTGACATCGTAGCTGTAGGTCACGTGGTATATTGTGACCCTAAGATTTGCATTATGCAAGCAAGCGGGTCGGATGTCTCGGATAGAAATGTCCTCGAGTACGTAATGTCCGGCTGATAACATATGGTACCATGAACTCCAGAAACCGCGTTGTGGCAGGTTAACGTGGCCTGGATGACGACGGGATGGTCATGGCTGTGTCCTTGGTTATCCTGAAAGGCCTGGGAGCTCTCAGGTGACTCAGGTTGAACGTTCACAAGTTCCAATTGTGCAGATTAACCGATTGCAATGATGCAATCGCATCCGAATCATACTATGTATGTTATATTGATTTCCGAGTCCTCAAGTTTGTCTTGAAGCGAACAAGATGAATGTATAAAAGCCCGTTTTCCTTTCCCCCCTCCATAGCATCTACCTATCTGCCCACTTTACCATGGAGGTCAAATCAACAGCCGTCAAGCAGCATCTTCCCTCGTCTTCGGACGCAACTTGGGTGGACTCTTTTCCTTCCAACATACGTCCTTACCTCTATCTGGCACGAGTTCACAACCCCGCTGGAACACTCTTGCTATTCTATCCATGCGGTGAGTAGCTTTGTGACGTTATTTTCTCCGTTGTTGACTTGAGTAATTTAGCATGGTCGGTCACTATGGCGTGCTACGCACACGGCACGCCGATGTCGACGGTGTGGAACTATGTAGGATTGTTCCTTACTGCTTCCCAAGTGTTCCACGCCGCTGGCTGCGTGATCAATGACATGTGGGACAAAGACGTCGACGCTGCCGTTCGTAAGTGCTACACATTCAATAAAGTGGCTCCTGGTAACACTTTCACGTTAAGCGCGAACAAGCACGCGACCCTTGGCTGCAGGGGATGTCTCGATGTTCCAGGCATTCCTCTTCCTCATCCCACAGCTGGCTCTTGGCATCTGGCTGTTAATGCAGTTGAATGAATACAGGTGTGTTGGAGTTTGGTGATTTTTTTTATCGGTTCTTTATCCTTTTTTTTTCAAGCTTGCGACTTGGACTCTCGTCCCTGGGTCTGGTGGTGTTGTATCCTGCCATGAAGCGGGTGACCAATTGGCCGCAGGCAGTGCTTGGTACGTTATACGAAGTTCCAAGACCACCGCGGTCATTAATGTCATCGGATAGGCATGTGCTTCAACTGGGGGGCACTATTAGGCGCGGCTTCAGTTGCTGGAGCAGTTGACTGGCATGTGTACATCCCTCTGTACTTGGGGGCTGCCTGCTGGACAATTGTATATGATACTTCTTACGCCCGTCAAGTAAGAATCATTTTTCCCTTCCGCACTCTTCGGCTGATCAATGAAATCAGGACAGAGATGAAGACGCCAAATATGGTGTGCGCTCAACCACGATAATCTTTGGAGATCAGATCCGACCTATTCTTGCTATCTTCTCCGCCGTTGTTTGTTCTCTGGTGTCGTATGCCGGATACTGCAACGGACATGGGTTGCCATTCTTCTGCGGTGTTGGGTTGGGCGCACTTCACCTTGCCCGACTTCTCGCCCGGACTGACTTTGAAAACAAGGAGAGCTGTGATGCTACGCTTCTCAGTAATGCTTGGTTCGGCTTCTGGGTTTGGGCTGGAGCTTTCGCCGACTTTCTGTTAAAGACGCAGCTCAACTAGTAGATGCAATGACATTATGAATCTCTTCTGAGTTTCTTTTACCTCGCGACATCGTAGAGTTTATTTCTTACGTATGCAATAGATACGCAAAATAATGAGATAATTCCAGGCTTTAGGACGGTGTGCCTGTGATACTGGGTGTCGTTTCGTTACCCTTTGAAATTCAACACCCGGGTTCTGTCCCCCGAATAAACTTTAAATCTGTAAGAGTATGCCGCCGGCCCCCTCCAGCGTCGTCTGCACGGAGACGGGCGAAATTCTCGATCGCTACGGAAACGACCAATTAGTCCCTCGCCGAGTGGGTTTTAGGGTCCGGATCAGTGCTAAAGGCAACCGGATCTGAGATCTGAGATTTGAAGCTTCCTATCCCCCCGCCGGTCACCGGTGACCGAACGCCGTTGAAGTCGTGCCTCGGAACTCTACATCCAAGTCCTGCAGCGGGTGGTAGGGATGTAGTCTGCCTCGTGACGCTTTGCTGAACGCTTCTAGCTTATAAGGCTTCGCTTTGAAGTGAAGGGTCAGACTAACCTAAATATTCTAACGAGGATAAACTTCACACTTTGCCTTCTTAGGACCGCTGACATCATCTTACTCTGCGCATGATGCCGCTCGCTCCTGCACTTCACGGATCCTTCGTATATCTCTATAGGCACTGGTTTAGACGAGCCGAATATCTGAATCGGACACTAGAGTTCGCCACAGGGGCATCATCTTGCGAGGAACCCGAACATTCCAACTTATCTCCTTCTGTGATGTACACATTAATTCAAAATGTGGTTCATGTATGCATAGGCACGCGGACAATGCGAACAACTTGATTCATGAGCCGCAGCAATGTTTAATTACCCTGGGAGGTTGGCAGGCTCCCTTTGAGGCGGTGGGTATTACTACTGGCACACTCAATTCTGCAATTCTGCTGATCCGAGCATACAGGCATGATGTTAATTCAGGATATATTCATGTCATCCGAGCCTACTCGCCGACCAGCAACTAATATGACAGGATTCTTGACAGTGGAAGTTTTCATTTAGATGAGGCAGTGAACAATGTTCTACCATCAGCAAACAATTAAGAGCTCGACGAATTAGGGGTAACCGTAGGTCCCCCTTTGGACCATCCAATCAGCTCCCTCATAGCACGTACGCCAACGGGTCCCCTAATGTTTTTAGCAGGATCCAAGGAAACGCAGATAGCTTCGGCCAAGTGGTCGACAGAAATTGGTGGGACGCTCAGCAAGGTAGCCATAGATACCAACGCAGAAGGTGTCTGCTCAGTCGCCTTTGGGAACACGCTCGTGCCGAGCCAGCGGACAATGGATGCTGGCATCGGCACGAAGGACGGCATAGCTGCGTGCATCCACGCCGAGAAGGTAAAGAGGTTGACCGGGATGGTCATCGGCCTAGTCTCGGGGTCATATATCATAGCTAGACAAAAGACGTCAGTGTCTAGAAGTATCCACGTGAGGATGTATGCTCACAAGGCCGAACGTGTACTGCTCGATACTGTGGATGATCTTTCATGATCTCATCGATTTTCTTCTCGGCCTCCAGTTTGGTCTCCATGTATCGCACGGATATAATAGGCCTGTGAAAGTCCTCCGCGGAAACGTAGACAAACGGTCGAACATTGCGTAATTCCTTGGGTGGGTTTACTGGCAGTGAACGCCTCACACATACGGATGGCTAGTGCAACATATGACGACGCGTTGCTGACGTGAATGCAGGTTGGGCTCACCAGTATCACGATTAAGTTTTTCGTAGGCTCCTAAATGACGTGCCTCAACCGGGGCTGATGCCCGTAATGGACTTGAGCAAGCCCACGAAGTCCTTATCATGGAACAGTTTATTACGTTGTGTATTATCAAGGAGGGTGCCTATGGTGTGCACGACTGCGTTGACGCCAGGTAGAATATCAGGCATATGTGTCGGGATTCATAGCGTCAGCTTTTCCGCCATTCTACCTGGTGGGCTCTAAGCGTTATACGCGATGAAAAAGAGTGATTTACGGACCTTCTCTGCCCAGTCTGGGGTATGGCCTTTTGGGGTGCGGTAAGGCTTCCCAGATGAACTGAACATGTAATATAGTCTCGACAGATAGAAGGAACGAGTTCAGACATACCTAACACTGGTGACCTCCCATACCCCGCGCAAGAGCAGCCTTGCACACCGCAGAACCTAAAGCTGGAACTGGATCAGCAATAGCTGGATACAATCAACGGGGAACCTCACCGACGAACCCATTACCACCCACGACAAGAATTTTCTGGGCAATAGCGGACATTCGTATAACAGCTGGAAAGAAGATTGCCGTCAAACCTAAAAATATTCAACCAAAAGTGTGGCGGTTGTTCATGCCCAAGGGCATGCCCGAACCCGGGCACTAGCGGCGATCACTGAATCATAGTGTGTACTGCCCATTTATGTAATACAAGGCCTGACCGGCCTAACCCCTGAAGCTCTCCGCTGCTGCGCTACTACTACGTGCCCTGTTATGTACACTTCCGAAGTACTTCGCCTCTCATGATATCTCAAGAACAAGGTACATGCGTTACCCCTCGATAAGATATTTCAAAGTTTCTGCTCGTGTATAAGGCCCTAGGTCAAGCACCTTGCCATCGCGCATCTGTTACTGTCCACCACCCCCGACCTGGAGTCTTCCTCCACCTACCACACCTAATCCTCCAACCTGCGCCCTCCCCCGTCACGCGCTAGGCCCAATTGCAACTGCAACCTCATGAAGCCTGACGCTGCCTTCACGTCTCGAAACCTCACGCGGACTCAGACTCCCGCGCCGGGGCGTGACCTCTCGAGGCCCTCCTGCTTTCGCTCAGCCATCAAGAAAATGCCAGAGTGCTTATTTGGGCTTATTCTGCTCAGTAAACCGCATAAGACGGAAGATGATTGGTTCATTGCAAAAGGAATACAAGTGAATTTGGTCACTCTCTAACCAAGGAAAACCTAGACAACACACAAGACAAAGAGACATGAGAAATTTTTTATTTCCGAGCAAAAAATGAAGGAGACACATCTCTATTTTTACAGCTTCAAAACGGAGGATTCCAAAAACGGACAACACGTTTTAAGTCATTAAAGCCGTTCGCGGTGCGAGGATGATGATGGTTTATGGCGGTAGTACCGGCGCAAGCTCGTGTTCTGGAATACCCAGCGATGATGATCAATCCTCCACACCTGGGGGAGATGCATGCGGTAACCGGTTGAGGCCGGAGACATCGATGTTGAATAATTCAGTATTCACTTATCCAACAACCATGTCTCCGGCCTCCGGCGTTGTCGGATACTGCATGAGGGCTTAGCAAAAGGAAGGCGGACTTTGGCGGAGAAGGACGATGGTGGTCATAAGAGGGCGTGGACGCCAAACTTGGCGCCCTTTCAACGTTGCAACCACCGGAGAACAACGAGGGTAGCGAAAGTGACGGGTAAGCGGAGTTTGGTGCGGTGGATGAAACTTGACTTGGGCAGTTAGATGAATGCGGATGGCAGGTATATTCCGGTCAAGGAAAGAGATGGGTGGCGAACAACCCGTTGTAGGTTTAGGTGGCGACTTTCTGGGCACCATCCTAACCGTGACGGTCACCCAACGTTATGTAGTTACTCCCGGACCACCATGGACGAGTGAACACTGAAGATATAGTCGTTACTTTAAAACACGCCCTGAGATTGATGCATTGATGAATCAACCTAATGGGCGTCTAAGTAGTAAGTAGTGGGTAGTGGGTTCACTTCTGGACGGCAGAAAAGTTGAAATGGCCCCGAGTCGAGTTTCTGGGAGTTATATATAATAGGCTCACAATGTGAACAATTATTCCGCAGATCAATCCATGATGAGTGACCATATACTTACTATAGGTACGTCTGTGCTATTGATAGTGTTTCATCCTATCACATTCCTTTCAGGCTGAATCTTGCATTCGCAGATCGTAACTGCGCAGATAGAACTGCGTTTGGGTTCCTTGGGCCAGCCAGCAACACTGTCGTTGCCTCGTGTCCTTACACATAGTACGTCCCACAACACGACATCGTGTCTTTCGCAGTTACGAAGTGCTCACGTTAACAGCAACAACGTTGACTTCTCGTGATCAGCGCACATGTCCGAGGCCAGCTCATACCATCATAACTACCACGGTCATCATGATCTAACCACACGCTACTACGCCGATCCCGGAGAGCACTCTTCTGGACCCGTACGCAGAAATAGATATGACCGTGACAACGTGAGTCCCAGGCGAGTGCGGGATGTATCCTGGATTAGCCAACGGTCTCCATCCCCAATTAATGACCCGTATGCACGATGGTACCCACCTCCACCCGAGCCCGAAGACCTTCCCACACCTGTTTTTCCAGACCAACCGCTACCCATGGCACACTCCTCGCCCATGATGGGGCGCACACACTCCTCGCCTATGATGGGGCGTACGCACTCCTCGCCTATGATGGGGCGTACGCACTCCTCGCCCATGATGGGGCGTACTCCGTCGCCTGGCATGAGGATGCCCTCCCCAATGATCGGAGAATACATGACCGTGGAGGAGCCTGAGGACGAGGAGGACGAGGAGGATGAAGAAGATGAAGAAGATGAAGATGAAGAAGAGGAACATCCGGAGGACCACGGGGAGATTGACTTTGATTTCTCTAATGCTCCTCAACACCGCACGAAAGGTCCACGACGCTGGGTTGGGGGCTTCGTCAAAGGCCTGCGTAAGTTTCCTGGCCTGCGCAAGTCCCCACACAGACCATCACCATCGGGTGACTTTGCATCGTCAATTGGTGCTCATCATGAGAATGATATGCAATTTCCAACCATATTGAGTTTGAATTTGCGCCCGCTCACGCCCACTGGAATAGCGCAGACCGCAGAGTTGATGCCCATGCCCCAACCCCCGTCACACCCGCAACCATCGCCACAGCATTATGCATATCAGCAGCAGTCGCATGTGCATAGACCACCTCCCCCAGCAACGTCATCGCCAGTGTATGCCCCTGGAGCGGATGTTGTCCCTCAAGTCCTCTCAACAGTTGACGAGCGCTCAAGCGAGCAAACTGGAACACATGAGACACATCCGCACCCACACTCCTCCGCCGATCATGCTCGTTCTCCCCGTACTCGTACACATAACCACTCACATTCACAATCTTATTCTTCAACTGTTCAGCCTGTCCACCCCAACGCAACTGTTCAGCCTGTCTACCCCAACACAACTTTCACCGTGACCGACTATGTCACTGTTCCCCCCGCCCCAGGCCACTCCTCCCCCACCTACGCGCATTAAGCGCTTTCTACACAACCTCGACCAGCTTCCCTGGGTTGAGCACGAGCAAATTGCCGATGCTTACTTCCCTGGCCGTTCCTCCCGCCACCGTCGCTATCCAGATTCACCTGTGGATGACGGAAAACCTGCAGCATCGTGGTACAACAAGCGTCAAAATTCCCTCCCAAAAGAGATGGGTATTGGGCCGAGCAGCGCGGCCCTGTTGTATGGATGGCCGCCACAGATGCAAAAGTCTTACTCGCACCAGGGAATGGTTTATCCACAATTCCCATACGGGTACGCGCCCATACAGCCCGCGTTTGTATACCCAACTACGTTCCCGCGAGCTCCACCACCGAGGACAAATTAGAGCTCCGGTGCGAATCACCATCATATCGCTGTGTTGTATGTTTTTGGATAAATACATACGATGTGTCGTTATCATCCGCAGCTGATTCAGTTATTCCAGGATCATTCCCGAATATGCCGGTCAACCTATTAAGTTGTTTCAATACACGCATGTTGAGCGCTGAGCGCTTTGACAGTACCTGAACCTGCTAATTAGTTGCTCTTTAAACCGAAGACATCATATCTGACAGGCTATCGAATCACGTTGGGCGGCTTACATTACCAAGAGTATTACATAATAACAATCAAATATATCTTCCTTGTCGTCCTCTTCAGCTTCGACTTATACTAGTTTCGCTTCCATTTACTTCTCCTTACATAGGCTAGAAGGTCCCCCATCCCTAGAAGATCACTTCTACCCCACTGGCAGGATCCGAGGCAGAGATTGTCGGTGGTGTGAGTCGGTTGCGAGTAAAGCGAAAGAGCTGCCGGCCCTGCGGGAATATTAATGGGCAGTTGATGTTGGTGGGTGATATATAAGTACTAAAGAGGATTCGATGGTAACATCCGATGAAACGTTAAAGTACAGCAGTTGTTTCGCCACCGTCCTTGGTCTTGAGTCATTGAAGGAGCTCGTCCACTGGCAGCTCGCTACTAGATGTCTCGTACTACTAGGAGGCTACCAATAGTACTTACGAGACATGGAACCCGGTGAGTAGTCGCCGAAGTCATCCTCGTTCTGTATGGTTGTATTCAGTTGTGATTCTCAAGTTCTCGGAGAAATGCGACTTGACATTATCAACACGGTTCACCGGTTCAGTGACTGTCAAGGCTCCCGATTTGCTAAGTCATACCCATTAAACACCGCCAACCCGCGGTGAAGCTTTGAAGCTCCGTGGGCTCTATCCTACACCCTCTAAACCCGTCAGCATAGAACCACGATAATACCCGTGCGTTTCCCTATAGAGTAAGTATTATACAAGAATCAGAACAATTGTGCATTTATTACAATCATGGGCGTTGACTCAGATATTCGAACGTTTGGATTCATCCTTACTTCTGGTTTTACCGGTCAGCGGTACGGGAAGCCCATCACACGTCCTCAGTGATACGGAATTCTACCCGGATGGAGCAAAGTGCTTGGCCTCGTGTTCCATTATCTCCGGTTCGAAGATCATGGCATCATGCACGAGATTAGCCTCCACATTGATTATTGCCCCTGTTTCTCGTTACCTCACATTAGGACTGTCCCTGTCGTTACAAACCCTCCATTCCATGGGCGATGCCACCATTTGATGGCTACTAGCCTACGGGTAACTCTGGCGTTCAAGTTAGTGGCCCAAAACGGATACAAAGTTCAATCCGTTAATTCCAATCGCTATGGAGCCTCGAGGCCTCCATTTAGAGTTCATAAGAAGGCCAAGACAAAGATATTAATGTTGTTTTGCAAATTCACCTCAAGTGGGAGCGGAGCTCAACGTTCAACTTCCTTAACTGGTCTTTTATTCTGTGCCGCAGTATTTCAAAGAGCCCATGCATATGGGGATAGTCACTCAATATTTGGTTCGGGTGCCTCACAAGATGGTGCCATTCCTTGTGGCCTCCGTGGCGAGTATTAGTCGGCTCGTCACAAAGCGTCCAAACCAGTGCCTATAGAGACAAGGTAAGGATGCGAAAGTATACGAGGGATCCGTGAAGCTTGAAGTGCAGGAGCGGTAGTATCGAACGGCGCTGGACGATCGAGACTGTGCAGATACCAAGATGATGTCCGCAGGTGTGAGTGGTCTTAAAAAGGCAAGGTGAGAATTTGTTCTCATTAGAATTCTGTATACAGATTCGAACTAAATATTGGGGACAGAACCCTTACAGCTAGAGGTTCAGATGGACAGACCAGATGGGCTAAAATTTTTGTTTGTTTTACCACTTCTATTCACTTGTGGAACTTCACAAATAACAGGGTTTCGCCTATACTGTTCGGGTAGGAATACCTCGGGAGGTCGCTGCTTCTGGCTCGGACAACGCCGCCTTGAAACCAGTAGAAATACATCGACACTCTGAGATATATAAATCTGCCGAACCGACGAAACAGAACCCAGCTGAGAAACGAGATAGCGACAAACTCGACACAGTAACGTTACGATCTTGTTTTGCCTCGTTGATTACCTTGCAGAGCAAGGTCTATCTTGATGGAGTTGTACTAAATAAGACAAAATATGCACGTGGTCCAAAACAAATCACAGTCTTTGATGCGAATACAGAATCTGCGAACTGCGTCATTTGTCAACAGCAGAAACAAGTATATGTAAACAGTTAAGTGGGAAACGCCGACCCCTAGTATCGTAATAAGCTGGACCCCGTAGTTTGAGTTCGCTGCTTCCGACTCGGACAACGTGCCGACTACCGATATCGTACGTTTTATGATCTAAGGAGGGTATCGTAATAAGGCGGACCCCGTTGTTTGGCTCCAACACAAAAAATGAAATCGGGTCCATTGATATGAAAGCTAGCTATAAGCTTCTCTAAATTTCAGACAATAACGAAACGAAATCGCGGCACACCAGTCTAAGACGTAAAATTATATTATTATTTTGCATACGGGAAGTCATCTATTGCATACGTAAGAAGTAAACTCTACGATCTCGTGAGGTAAAAGAAACTCGGAAGGGAATAATATCATCGCATCTAGAGCTGCGTCTTTACCAGAAAGTCGGCGAAAGCTCCAGCCCAGACCCAGAAGCCGAACCAAGCATTACTGAGAAGCGTAGCATCACAGCTCTCCTTGTTTTCAAAGTCAGTCCGGGCGAGAAGTCGGGCAAGGTGAAGTGCGCCCAACCCAACACCGCAGAAGAATGGCAACCCGTGTCCGTTGCGGTATCCGGCATACGACACCAGAGAACAAACAATGGCGGAGAAGATAGCAAGAATAGGCCGGATCTGATCTCCAAAGATGATCGTGGTTGAGCGCACACCATATTTGGCGTCTTCATCTCTGTCCTGATTTCATTGATCAGCCGAAGAGTGCGGAACGAAATAAAAAATCTTACTTGACGGGCATAAGACGTATCGTACACGATTGTCCAGCAAGCAGCCCCAATGTACAGAGGGATGTACACATGCCAGTCAACTGCTCCAACAACTGAAGCCGCACCTAGCAGTGCTCCCCAATTGAAGCACACGCCTATCCGACGATATCAATAACTGCCGCGTCTTGGAACTTGGTATAGCGTACCAAGTACTGCCTGGGGCCAATTGGTCACCCGCTTCATGGCAGGATACAACACCACCAGACCCAGGGACGAGAGTCCAAGTCGCAAGCTTGAAAAAACAGGAATGATAAATATGGGAACCGATCAAAAAATTCACCTAACTCCAACACACCTGTATTCATTCAACTGCATCAACAACCAGATGCCAAGAGCCAGCTGTGGGATAAGGAAGAGGAATGCCTGGAACATCGAGACATCACCCGCAGCCAAGGGTCGCGTGCTTGTTCGAGCTTAAAGTGAAAGCGTTACCAGGAGCCATCACTTGATTGAAAGGGTAGCACTTACGAACGGCAGCGTCGACATCTTTGTCCCACATGTCATTGATCACGCAGCCAGCGGCGTGGAACACTTGGGAGGCGGTAAGGAACAATCCAACATAGGTCCACACCGTCGACATCGGCGTGCCGTGTGCGTAGCAGGCCATGGTGACCGACCATGCTAAGTTGCTCAAGTCAACGACAGAGAGAATAATATCATGAAAGCTACTCACCACAAGGATAGAATAGCAAGAGTGTTCCAGCGGGGTTGTGAACTCGTGCAAGATAGAGATAAGGACGTATGTTGGAAGGAAAAGAGTCCACCCAAGTTGCGTCCGAAGACAAGGGAAGATGCTGCTTGACCGCTGTTGATTTGACCTCCATGGTAAAGTGGGCAGATGAGTGGATGCAAGGAAGGGGGGTGAATCAAGACGGGCTTTTATACATTTATCTTGCTCGCTTCAAGACAAAAAGGTAAGGAAATCGAAATAACACACATGATAAAGCGGCGATTGCAAACAGTCAACCGAAGAGGGCCTTTAAATTTCAGGATGGCCGAGGATGATGCCATAGGTAAGGACACTGCCGCATCCCGTGGCCACAGCCTGCACGTGTTTGCTCCACAACGCGCGTTTTTGCCGTCTGAATGTAAATCTCAAGAGATGTTGAGAATTTCGTCGGTGAGTAGTTATCATTACTCTGACAGACTACAGCCGAGTCTGACTGACATCCGCGGCGATGCCGACCGACTTGAGGTGAAAGCCAATGGATTATTTTCCATAGGCAAAGTATTCCGGAATAATTCTGAGTCTGAAATGTCACGGTGGCTCGGATATTAGCCCGCTAAACGAATAATAGATTCGGCACCCTCATCGTTTATTACTTATACTTAATCTTTGCCGACCCCAGCTTGCTTCTAAATCCTTGCATCAACACCCCGAGTTTAAAGAGACATTAACACACAATTGGCGAAAGGTTGAAAACACACCTTGGTATCGCTGCGCGACCTGCTGCGCTTCATGTCATCATGATGTCGAGCAAGGTGTTAGTAGCCTAAAACGGAAGGAAGACTTGGCGACGACGCCCGCCTAATAAGGTTACATGATGCATTTTACGAAAAATCATCCCTAGCTATACAACGGCCGGTCGCCGGGCCCCATCCCAAGACCCTCTTTCTTTGTGAGCCTCGGTTTACTTGCAACGTCATTAAGTCAATTGCAGTTAGTGTTGTTGGCAGAACTCGGCAGTTTTGCCA